GAGGATAAACATATTGTCATGGTTAAAGACCCCAAAAGAACCAGTTTTTTCATCCGAAGGGGGAAACCGAAAGTAGGAGTCCCCATATATTCAAGAATTTATGTGGACATGGGACAGGTTCAGTCTACATGACGGTGTAGTGTACAGAAACGCTTCTCTAGATGGTCATGAAGTGAAACTGGTGCTAGCTAAGCAGTATCATGCCTTAGTCATGCAAGGGGCCCATGACGATGTACATGTAGGTCATCAAGTCAGGGGAAACTCTTTGGTTAGGTCCCACTGGCTAGGTATAGAGACAGCTGTAGACAAAAGAGTTGAGAATTGTGGACGTTGCATGAGACGTAAAACTCCAAGAGGCCACAAGCCGAATTGGTACCAATCCATTCCACTTGACACATTGAGGTAGTCTATATCAACTTTCTCAGCTTGGAGCCCTCCAATAGTGGTTAAGAGCACTGTCGAAATCAGACGGCACACACAACTGGTAAGGCATTATACAGTTGTGTGACCGCACAACGCACCAAAAATACCGTGCGTACATCGTTCACACACCGTCCGCACATCGTCCACACATGGTGCGCACAACTGTGCGATTTAACAATCGTTCGCCCCGTTGTGCGCTTTTTTCTCCGCACAACTGTGCGATTTGGTACAATATTACGGAATGCAAAAAATACGTAAGGCTCGTATGCAATAATGTACACTGTATATATTACTGTAATTTCTCATCACAATAATTAAGATTATGTACAATTTTACAATGCGTGTTACACAGTGTTACAGTGACCGTTAGACTGTCAAGAATAGGTTTAGCTTCTAGGTAACAGAACAGGTAAATAACAATTTGATGAGTGACCGGAGTTTTACCTGGCCTGTCCCTGACACATAGAGCTGATATGTGATACCGTATGACCGTTATGAAAACACAACTGGACGTTTAGTATTAGTTATTTGCATTCGTTTTGGTCTATGGCTCCCCTTCTCCTGGTTTTCACATCTTGGCGAGTTACGTAAGTGCCCCGGGCGGGGGATAACTACGGTCTAGGTACAGGTACAAAGTGGCTATGTTTACCTGTATTGCTGATACTGTGTTGTAATTTGACATGGGTCGATTTAGGTTGTTTAAAAAACACCGAAAACACCATTTCTAAATTTAAGAAAATATAGATAGAAAGATAAGCTTATAGAAGTAGCTAGAATAGAGAAACATACATAAAAATCAAGTTTACATGTTTAAACACGAAACCGTATATATTGTTAAGGCATTCCTCAATTTACACCAACCACGATTGTTATCACACAACATTCGCCCATCGTCCGCACAAATGTGCGCAGGCAATGATCGTCCAATTTTTTTTATCAAAAAGTGGTTTCGAAGTCCTATGTATCGCCATTAGTCCAAGCCTATAATGATTGAAAGAGTGATGCCAACGGTTTCTCACCATATTTTTTAATATTTGGTTGACATCCTCTATCAATTGACGCTTACATAGGAACAGACCCTTGTGAACAAGGGGCGGTAGACCATACTTTGTACATCGGTAAGCTTTGAGAAAGAATAAAAAAAATGCCTACAAAGTTGCTGGTACAGAGGCCACTTACGTTTCTGTTCGCAGCAAGAATCTTTGTGACAGGTCAGTTCGTGAGACAAAATTGGAAATTAGAGACCATGCTCTGGAAAGGAAGGTCGGTCTGAAGGGGAAAAGCAAGTTCGATGATAAATGAAAACATGTACCCTATCTGGTTATTGACATACCCAAAAGAGATATCCATATAAAGTACAGAAGAAAACGAGGAAGGGACGTAAGCGATCTTTACACCGAAATATGTTGATATACTTCAATTCTATACTTAAAGATGTCCCCACTTAGGAGCCTCACTATAAAGTAAAGTCATCTAAGCCAATTCCTTCTGCTCACGGTGACCTTGAAGTCTGATAGTGATGATGAGCATGTAAAGCTGCTGCGAAGTTCAAGGAAACAACCTTTGAGTAATTCCCAAGATAATCTTACCACTATTGCTCTCGAGCCAATGTTTGCCATAGCTATTATAGCTACACCCACAGAGGCGACAGTGGTGGAACATGAATACGAACCTTAAAATGTGGGTAATGTCAGGGACCAAACGGGTCAAACCGTAGGTGACCCTCCCACCACAAAGGCCAGTAATTGTACGACAATCCACACGGACGCGGTGACCCTACCACCACAAAGGCCAGTAACTGTAAGACAGTCCACACGGACGCGGTGACCCTACCACCCCAAAGGCCAGTAATTGTACGACAGTCCACACGGACGCGGTGACCCTTCCACCACAAAGGCCAGTAATTGTACGACAGTCCACACGGACGCGGTGACCCTTCCACCACAAAGGCCAGTAATTGTACGACAGTCCACAAAGGCCAGTAATTGTACGACAGTCCACAAAGGCCAGTAATTGTACGACAGTCCACACGGACGCGGTGACCCTGACACCCCAAAGGCCAGTAATTGTACGACAGTCCACACGGACGCGGTGACCCTACCACCACAAAGGCCAGTAATTGTACGACAGTCCACACGGACGCGTAAACAACTAGATCGGTTTGGTCTGTGGATATTATCGCAGCAGGTTGGGCAAATGACATCTGGTGGAATATTTGTATAGCTTTAAGATGTTTACAGTGAATGTAATAGATTTTATCCAGATTTTACTCGCTAGTCAATTTTTACATAATGCTATTCCTAGAATAGGTAGGGGTTTCTCCAGCCATCTTAGCTGTATCACAGTTGGGAGTTTGCTATAGGTGTTTTTTTGGATGCTTTATCACCGATTCTGACCATAACTGATTCATTTTTGAGTGTAGAGTAGATGCACAACTCTTACTTCATTGTTACTAGTGCAATGTTGTAATTGCAATGCACTTGTATATATACTAAATACGTGTGTAATTCTTATGGTAACCAGTTCTATCAATTTAAAACACTCCCGTTCAGTTTACACTATGCTGCCAAGCAGGAAGGGGCTCATACATTCTTCCCAGGTCCCTGATAAGTCTTATTTTTATTTTATTCATAGCGTTAGTTAATGTAACTATATAGATATACTGTGATATAATACATGTAGTTTATTAACAACGTGTCCATCGTATGTATTCGTAAAGAGAAAGTAAACTATATATGTATATGGTTACTGTTGTAGTGATATATTCGTTTCTTTCTGTTAATAGGTTTCTACGTGTATTAAAAAGGTAAACAGACCCTTTACAGCCTTGTTCCTCCGAGCTTAAGGGCCAAAGGGGGGTTACAAATGGCACTCACGTAGAAGTATCGACAAATTTTAGCAAGAAGCTAGTCCCTTAATATTCTGGTTAGACGAGAAGGACTAGAAGCTGTCTTCCTGTCACCAGAATGGAAGGTGATGCGATGAGATTAGCTATTTTGTTGATTTATTGTATGAGTACACAAGCGTTTGGAATACAAAATGAAACATATAATATACATGTGGTTCATTTTTTCTAGATATTTTACCTAATTTATTGTGCAGAAATATATCAGTAGTGTCGTTGTATACCCATATGCATGTATGCTAGTAAACTTATTGAAATAAACCTCCATGGGCACCTGTGACACTTAAATTTCAACTGAACATTATTGAGGATTTATGCCATCATATTGAATAGCATTGTAGAGCAGGTGACAGATTTGATCAAACTTATTTTAAGCTTGCAAAACATCCATCTGAAATTATTAGAAAGAATGGTTCTATTGTATTGTATGTTTTGCTAGTTACATGTACTTGTGATATTACTAAAAAGAGTGGTCCTTTTATCAATTTAAGTCACAATACAGATTAGGAGTGCTTTGGTTTTAAAAAATGTAAGATTGACAAATGTTTTACCTATGTTTCAAAAGTTCTATCTGTAAAACTAATCATTATGGAAATTCCACCGTATTCCATTAAAGTTTGGAATTCCTTCAAAGGCCAAGAATTAAAAGGACTCCCCAAACGAGTAGCAGTCTCTGCTTATGGCCAATCAGAGACTGATCTTATGTCATTTTCGATAGACTGCTAGGAGAATCTAACGAAAGATTTGCTTGAAGGTCAGGAGGTCAAAGCACTTACCGACAATGGATCAGTGGTTTCAAGTAAATCGAAAACATGTTATGAAAATCTTCTGGATACACCCTAACGTCAAGACTTGAACACTCTAGGATTAAAGATACCAGTAGCTAATGATTCTACTTTGAACTACCTAGTATATAAATTGTGTAAAATTGATATCTCTTTTATGGCGGAAAATGTTTTTAATATACATTCGTATGCTGGTTGTACCCGACACCAACTATTACAGTACTTGCCCTGTCATCCTAGGCACGACTGTTATTCGCCTAATTATCGGATGTTATATTGTACCACAAGAATGAAGAGCTTCAGTAAATAGTGTTGGGACAACGCATGTAACAGTTGCTCCCTATGCCACAGTTGTTCTCAATTGAACAGGCTTGGGTTTAAACTACACTGACATAACTGATCTTGTCACGGAGAACCAGAAAAATTCGAGTTTACAGTTTGCCCTCGTGTGATTAAGGTTAAACAGATTGCATCAAGTGTAAAAATACCGGTGAAGCTGTGTTATATCTCAACCAAACTTGCGGTTATGACGCCACATTCAACTAGGTCAAGGGTAGCAGATAACCTAGCTTCTGATCACCCTAAAGCAGAACTCATTTATACCTGAAGAAGTTGGTGTGCAAACATAATCTAGATATAGACGTTATTGATCGCTGAAGCGGGATATCATTTAAAAGGTTTTCTTTCATAAATACGAAAACGGTGTTGCTATAACAATGTATTTAAAGATATGAAAGCAGATTTGTTGAATACTTTGTATGCAGACATACTGTCAATATGCAATAATGCACATGGAAACATTAAATCGATCAAATCAAAGTTCAAACCTAACTCGAAACTCATTAATACTTTATTTTTTCAGTAAATACCAAATCACCTCTATCGCTAAGTTACCCACTAACAGTGCTCTGTCCCGCCGAGACACGTTATACATTAGAACACCTCTTTTGAGAAAACTGAAACCGAAAGTACACTGCTCAAGTTACCAGAAATATACACGTTGCAGCTCTAAAGGATTTTCGCCGCCATGACAGGTTTGTGCCGTATTTATCTTCTATTGTTATTAACGATAAATATGCGACTTCTAATTTGTACTGAATGCATTATTTCTAATCAAATGACTTGAATAATATCAACATCAAGATGTCGTAGATTGTTGTTGTTTTAGAGGTATATTTAGTTTGTACATTGTGTCGTGTTCACCATGGCACTAATGAGATACAAAATAGTGAATATCCAGTGCATTGTTTGTGAGATTATCATGATGTAGATTAGAAACAAACATAATTAATGTATATCCGCTGTATTGGTTGTGCGGTTGCTATGGAGTTGAAAAAATGCATGATTAATGTATATCCCATGTATTGATTATGTTATTACTATTGAGCTGATAAAATGCAAAATTAATGAATGCCAATTTTATAGTTTGTGTGATTACAATGGAGCTGATAGGATAAATAGTTCATGTATATCTCGCCTATTGGTTGTGTGATTCTATAGAGCTTAAAACTTTGCCTTTTATGTATATCCCGTGTATAGTGTGTGTTGCTAATATGGAGCTGATAAGATTGGTTATGTAGTCGATATGGAGCTGATCAGATACATAATTAATGTGTACGTTTGTGTGGCTACAATATAGCTGATAAGATAAATAACTAATGTATATCTAGTGTATTAGTTGTGTGGTTACTATATGGAGCTGATAAGACACACAATAATGTATATCCAGTGTATTGGTTGTGTGATTACTATGGAGCTGACAAGATAAACAATAATGTATATCCAGTGTATTGGTTGTGTGATTACTATGGAGCTGACAAGATAAACAATAATGTATATCTAGTGTATTGGTTGTGTGGTTACTATGGAGCTGACAAGATAAACAATAATGTATATCTAGTGTATTGGTTGTGTGATTACTATGGAGCTGACAAGATAAACAATAATGTATATCTAGTGTATTGGTTGTGTGGTTACTATGGAGCTGACAAGATAAACAATAATGTATATCTAGTGTATTGGTTGTGTGGTTACTATGGAGCTGACAAGATAAACAATAATGTATATCTAGTGTATTGGTTGTGTGGTTACTATGGAGCTGACAAGATAAACAATAATGTATATCTAGTGTATTGGTTGTGTGGTTACTATGGAGCTGACAAGATAAACAATAATGTATATCTAGTGTATTGGTTGTGTGGTTACTATGGAGCTGACAAGATAAACAATAATGTATATCTAGTGTATTGGTTGTGTGGTTACTATGGAGCTGACAAGATAAACAATAATGTATATCTAGTGTATTGGTTGTATGATTACTGTATATGGAGCTGATAAGACACACAATAATGTATATCCAGTGTATTGGTTGTGTGGTTACTATGGAGCTGACAAGATAAACAATAATGTATATCTAGTGTATTGGTTGTATGATTACTGTATATGGAGCTGATAAGATACACAATAATATATATCCAGTGTATTCGTATTGTTGTTACCATGGAGCTGATAGGGTACAGAATAAAGTAGGTTTTCGTTTTTTTGTTTGGGGCTAAAAGATACACAATCAACGTAAACTAGTATTTTTGTTAGTTCTAATTCGAAATATATCATGCACTGAAACCTTTTTGTATTGATCGATTAAATATAAAAACCGAGAATGAAATAGTTTACCAAACAAAATTGTTCAGACCTGCCGAGACACGTTAAATATATGAAATCGTCTTCTAAGTGACTAAAACCGAAAGTACTCCTTACCTGGAACCTACACCGCCATTGCAGGTCTGTGCCGCATTTATCTTCTATTTTATAAACGATACATACCGGAATTCTCATCTGGGCTACATTGTACATGTATTATTTCTTATTGTAATGACTAGAGTAATATTAGAGTCACGATGTTCTAGATATATAGTTTTTCGTATACTCAGGTAGTACATTGTGTCGTATTCTCTGTGCTGGAGTATGTGTGAGGTTACCAAGAAGCAGATAATATACATAATTAATGTGTATGTTTGTGCGGTAACAATAGAGCTGATCAGATAAATAATTAATGTATATCTAGTGTATTGGTTGTGCGGTAACTATAGAGCTGATAAGACACACAATTATGTATATCCCGCATATTTGTTTTTTTTTTTTTTTGTTTGGGGTTAAAAGATACACAATCAACGTAAACTAGTATTTTTGTTAGTTCCAATTCGAAATATGTAACGCACTGAAACCTTTTTGTATTGATCGATTAAATATAAAAACCGAGAATGAAATAGTTTACCAATCAAAATTATTTTGACCTGCCGAGAAACGTTAAGTATATGCAATCTTCTTCTTAGTGGCTCAAACAGAAACTACACTTCTTTACCTGGAATATTCTAGAGGTCATACGCCGCCATTGCAGATTTGTGGCGTATTATCTTCTATTCTATAAACGATACATACAAGAATTCTCATTTGTGCTACATTGTACATTTTCCATTTCTTATTGAAATGACTAGAGTAATATCAGAGTCACGATGTTCAAGATAATCATATAGTTTTTCATATACTCAGGTAGTACATTTTGTCGTGTTATCTGTGCTAGAGTTTTAATGTTTGGTTACCATGGAGTAGATACTATACATAATTAGCTAATACAATACATAACTAATGTATATCTAGTGTATTGTTTGTGTGGTTACATGGTCCATGAAAGAAAATGTGTTGAAGTGGAAGCCACGAGAAAACATTTACCGCATATGTTCAATTATCTAACACTATGTGAAACGCAATAAGGTCTGTATCGATCGGTATATAATCAGCGGACTTTAAATGACTTCGGTTACTGAGTCGGTTTGAATATTTTGTGACGACGTTTTGTGACTAGTGAATGGTCTGGTGACATTGATTAGACTGCGAAGTCTGCATAACAGACAATTGTTATTGACGAAATGTTACCTGTGTCAATGTTAATCAATTACTCGGTAACACGAGACGTCCCATTAAATGAACCAGGATTGAAAAAATCTAGTCGAGGTGTCGGAACGGGTTTTATAAATATCTTTGTGAGTGTATAAAACACGACACCTTATTGCACACATCAAGTATACATGTACCACACCCTCAATTTTGTTTTATCGTCTTCTTGACAATTGGTGGTTTCAATAAATACCCTGCCGTTTAGTATGATAAGTTATTTTATCGTTCCCTGTCTTTCTTGTTTTGTCTATTTTTTCACATAAAGATTGGCATTTTATAAAGAATATACTACAAAGTTACATAACTGATAGAGAGAACATTGTTTACAATACTTGTAATTTGTTTTACTAAATAAATATACTATGTTTATTGTGGTATGAATGTTCATTTTGCAATATGTTATCCGAATGGTTTATGACCTTTATTTCAAATATCCAACTCTAAGTGATACACAATTTTCATTTTTTCATTTTTGAAACTTTGCTATTTATCTTGATAAAAAAAGGATTACTCAAATTGCATTTTGCAGTCTAGATTTACCTGTACGAGTTAAGTCGCCAATGCATTAACTTTTCTAATTCACTTTAGCTTAGATTATTTTTACATGCGGAAGGCTAATATCTCTTTGAACAATATATAGTAACATAATTTTGAAATTAGTAAATCGACAAAAAGACATTATGTTAAGGATGATACAAATCTAACAATACAGACAATTCTAAACCAGACAGGTCGTGTGCTGTCGGGGACATGCCTGGTAGACTAGGTATGTTTTGGCTGTTTGTGTATGACACACTAACACTACTGTCCTATAAGACGATCCACCGTTCCTACTTGAATACGTTAGGTTACCTGTGGGTTTATCTTCTAAACCTCAGACGTCCGTAACACTATGACACGACGGGGTATGATTGGTTGCATACACATCATTAACACATGTGACGCCTTCTTGTATTCGGGAATTAACTTGGATGACAAAAAGCATTTAAATAAATTCAGCACCGTTATGATCGCACTTTGTGAATTGCATTGTGACATATACAAATACTGTTGCTGTACGGGCTCTTTACTTCATATAGTTCTTCGAATCATGAATTACAAATAATTATGTTACAAATGTCCATGTAATTGCGTTTTTCGAATAAAATGTAATTATGTACCACATCTAACGGCCTCAAGTAATGGTATACCTCCAGTACCGCAATACCATAACGTGTATTACCGTTGTTGGTTGAATTTCACATTCATGACATTCATTTCACTTACAGTTTTGTCTATAAAGTTGGTCAAGGTTTTGTCATAAATGACCATAGGTCAATCAGATGATTACTTACAATCAACAATACTTTTCGTTATTCACATATTAAGGATCAAAGTAAGCCAAAGGTCAATATTCAGGTCACCAAGCGTCAGCGATCAATTTGGTTATTAACATCTAGTAAGATGATACCAGTTTTATTTGCAAATTTTATACCAAAGGACAATAAATACTATCTACATTTTATGTTTGGGTCACCAACGTACCATGTTAAAAATATCCATATCAAAAACTTCTAATTAATTTAATAAATTGTCAACATACATGTGCTCTAATTGGAGATTGTGAACACCCTGTGACCACGCTTATTAGTTACACCTAATGCCACAGAGATATTGAAGTTAGGTACACCACTGGAGTTGTATGTGTTCAATGCATAACTTTAAGCCTGCTCCTTTTAGGCATTTAACTGACCTTTTTAACGTAAATTACAAGGGTAAGCGCATGCGCCTTGTCGCTTTTTTTCCATGGACAAATGAGCTCACATTAACATTATCTACAGGAAGTTTGGTCCCCACGCAATGATGAGAAAAGAACATTTGTAACTGCAGCTTCTTATTTGGGATATTCGTACATGTAAATGCAGGTAAGGTTATCGGCTTCAACTAATTACGGAAAGTCATGAGAAAAGGAATTAAATGGTGAAAACTCGAATGCAGTCGTTTTTAATAAATTAAGATGTATTTAATTAATCAGTATTCCTAAATATTTAGAGGGGGGAGAGTTCCGCATCCGACCCGCTGTATATACACACTTTACATGTTAGAGTAACCTTCTAATTGTTTTATACACACTTAACATGTTAGAGTAACCCTCTAATTGTTTTATACGCACTTTACATGTTAGAGTAACCCTCTAATTGATTTATACACACTTTACATGTTAGAGTAACCCTCTAATTGTTTTATACACACTTTACATGTTAGAGTAACCCTCTAATTGTTTTAATTGTTTAATAAAGTGGTTATACGCACCTGCCCTTTCTGTAAGTCCTAGAAGGACGAGACAGCTTTATGTTATTATGTTTTTGGCTTAGTGTATCTATTACCAAGTTTTACTTGTGCAATCAGCCCACCAGTATGTACATGTATGTGTGTTGTGTTCATCTTGTACTAATGCTAATTTATACCGGATATTAACATATAGGTCATTTAAGGCCGCACGTTGAATCGCCTATTATTTATCAATCAGTTTGACAAATTGTTTTTATCTTAGCACCTAACAACAATGTTAAATTAAATTAAGTAAAAGTAACCGAACCTCATTCGTCTAATTGGTCACATGATATCGGAAATAGCTGCATTATAATGAAAAAAAAGCCTCAAATAATTTTAGTTAATCCCTGCAACTTTGTATTGTAAAAAAGGCAAATACGTTGCTTTCACATCTGGAATTTGATGATTAACAGCATAGTATAGAACTTCTTTATCTGTCATAAAAGGCCATGACAATTAATTGTCCATGCTTTAAGAAAAATATATGTACAGATTAGAATAAGCCGATGGAGACATATTTTGTCACTGAAACTAACCCGATACTTATGATTTGTTTACCACTTATATTAAGTTACCCTGGTCGTGCAAACAATACTTTGGCCTGATGCATTATTAACTAATATATTAATATATCCGTCAAAGTCTCTATAAGTATTTTGTTAATCTTACAAACACTGATGTTCATTTAAAAGCCTCGCTTCTCCGATTTCTATTTTAATTAGGATGTATGGTGACTGCATCTGGCAATTTACTGATATGCCGTGTTTTATCCAGTGTCGGTTGATTGCGTTTCTTATTAGTTTCAAACTGCAGAGGTACAAGAAGTTGTGCTGAAATACCAGTGAAAAATTGCCTTTCTCTGCAAGTGCCTCATTGGGTTTTTTTCGGAGCACCCCTTTATGATCATAGAAGAGAATATTTTTCTATCCAAACGCCCATCGACTTCCGGTTTTAAAAGCCATTTCTCACTAATTTACTAAAAAAAAGGGGTATCTCAGGGACTTTTGTTGTATCATATGCAGCTATTTACTCTTTGTTATTTTAATTTAAACAGACGTCGGGTTAATCTTTCCATTCATTTTTACTATCAAGCGTCAAAATTATTATGAATTCTGGTATTATTAAAATTATGTCATATTATTTGTATTGATCTTATGAAAACAAATTTCAATGATACGATGTAGCCAAAGGTTAGAGCTTACCTTACATCGAGATATTGGAAACGAGTTTCTTTCAAAACTCTCTTTCTATTACGTATGTATAACTTTAGCCATATGAAATTAAACTGATATAATTGTCCGAGATTTTAATAATACACTATCATTCCTTACACCCTCTGTCACCTTCAATGCATATTAATGTGTGTTTAAACTGCTCACATGTTATGATACTCTTAGAATTATAACAAAATAAGAAAAGGAGTGTTATAAAAGGTATGATAGATTGCCTAGAGTGCTCTGAGACACGACAGTCTAGTGTTAGGACGCCGGGCTCGTGACCGAAGGGTTGCGAGTTCGAGTCACGTCACAGCACTGTGTTGTATCTTTGAACAATATACTTTACTCCGTTTGTGTCAGTCTTCTCAGCTGTAAATGAGTACTTAATTGGGCAGTGCTAGAATGGTTGAATGCTAGCTGTGAGTGCCAAAATGGCAACACCGGTTGTATGCTCCCCAGGGAGTTTAGAAAGGTATTGGCTGGTTGCAAAGCCCCTATAACCATGGATAATATTTTTAACCGCTTCGAGCCGACCTACAAACTAGGTTATGATAATGCGGTATATCCGAACCTTGAATTATTATTATAAATACATATATTTATAAAAACTAGTTCAATATTTAGGGACATCTAACGTTATAGCCTAACAATCAAACGTAGTCCCTTTTACAGTCGTTGTTGATCAATTTGAAACCACGTAGGATACCAGCTGAAAATGTCTAGATTCGATATGAATATAATGTTTATATAGATATGCTGTTTGTAGTATACGTACTCAGGCAGACACAAATGTCATTTTAGCTTATTTATATTGTAAAATAAGTACATCTATTTGTTAAATATATATTGTCATACATATATTACCGCACGCCTTCTTAACGTTTTCGCTGACGAGTGTTATATATGTTATATAAATTCAGTTACAATTCTGTACAATATACCTCGGATTTAAAGTCCAAGTGGTTGATTTAAGTGGTTTTTTTATTCAGAAACATTAAAGGGGCAATTTGCAAATATTTTTCGAGCTTTTATCATTACTCCTAAAACTCTAAGGAGTAACTTTTATTGATTGTACTGTAAAATAGAATAAAATTAAGCTCTTCCAAACGTCTCTCCTGCTACTAGAAAAAACAACATATTTAACAAGGTGTTTCAAAGGTTTTAAAGGGGGTTTATGGGTGCCGTTATTAAGTATTGTTTGTGAGGATACGTGTCCTATATTAAAACGAAATATTTGCATCATACCCCTACATTCGGTTAAACTCATATGCCTTACCTCGTATTACTGAACGTTACATTATCGGACTAGTTAAATACGACATAAAGTGTTTGAAACATACCATTGCCATAACCTTCAACATACCCAAACACACAAGGATTGGATCTAGGTAGACCGTAAAATAGTACAAAGGTGTGACTTCTATTGTAAAACTTCAACTCTACAAAACATGATCTCGCTTTAAGATAAAATGACAATTGTATCTTAAGATTGGATCTAGAACAACAGTACAAGTATGTCACTTCTGTTTTAAAACTTCAACTGTACAAAACATTATATAAATGACATCTTTTTTTATTTCAGCTTAGACTAGTCAAGTCAATCATTTTGTGAGGACAGGAAACACTGCCGCTGAGTCAGGTATTGGAGTAGCAATATTATCTAAGCAATCAACAATTTTCAACAATGTGTTAATGATGTAAAAGAAAACATAAAATAGCTAACAGAGTACCAGTTCTGTTGTTACTGAAGTTCATTATATTTCTTAAACATGTACTATTGAGTATATTATAATGTCAGTTAAACAAGTACTATTGAGTATATTATATTGTCAGTTAAACAAGTACTATTGAGTATATTACAATGTCAGTTAAACATGTACTATTGAGTTTATTACAATGTCAGTAAAACATGTACTATTGAGTATATTAAAATGTAAGTCCATTGCTTTTTGTCGCACTTCGCTTGCTGGTTTTTATATTAGTTATAATACATTAACGTTACAAAAAAAAGAACATCACATCAACGGTCAATGATCAGTTTTGTGCTGTTTTTTGTACTCAATATTACATTATCTTTGAATGATACAATAACATTAATAATACTCCATGTTTTATCTCAGCTATGTCCATCACTGGTCAAACATATACTGCCCCACCTCCCACACTTGCAGCTTTCCTTGTGGGAGATGCCATTGGATTTGTACCAAAACCATGGCCGCGAGCCAAGTTCAAAGAAGCTCTGGCCGATACTCTCCACGTGTTTGGAGGTATTTTACAGGTTTACTATTACTATAAAACTAGCAAAACTAGCAAAACTAAAACTATTTGATAAGAAAGTTAAGGTATATCGGTAAAACGAATAATGTACGTTAAAAGAGGATTTTCCATTATTTATATCATTTCAAGCATCTTTATCATGGTACATGTAAACATTTTGTTATGATATAAAAAAGCAGAATATAGATAGTACGATTTAGGGAGATCTTATTGTGTTTGGTACTCTCTTCCAACTGCTATCACGAAGGTTTTAAGATACACTAGAGTAGTGCGGAAATATTTGTAGAAGTCAGTGAAATTTTATTTGATCCAACTAACCACGTGAATAGCATAACGGATTGCACACATTGTTAAAATTATTTGTCATTTATCTTTGAAATTCACTATTCAAAGCGAGGCATTAATGAAAGTTTCAATAGTGCCGACGATAACTTTCTAGAGGAGAATCGGTAACTTGTTGCCTCTATCTTTGTGGAATTTTGTCATATCTTTTATTTGATTTTTCGGTCTCAGTATCCGTATTGCTGTATGTATCTTTTTATCATGACCATATTTTTTATTGATCTTATCCTTAGATCCCTGGATGATATGCGAGTGTAAAGAACCGCCAACACTTCACCAGGAAACTGCGGACGAACAGAGTTGGTTAGCTGTCACTAAAATGTCCATGGAAGTCAGGAATGAATTTAATGAAATGCGAAATAGCAGGCATAAATCGGAACCATGTAAAGCATGCAAGGAAATGAAAACGGAGAGCATTGTAGATGTGATGTCAGAGAAATGGGAAAATGCCAAAAAAGAGGACGATCACAATACGTTTTGCCTGATAGGAATCACTGTAAGCATATATCATCAATTTGTTGATGTATTTAAATAAGGTCTAGGAATTCTCTGTAGGAATTATTTGATATCTGACACTTTTGAGAGGAAAGAGAGAGAGATTACTAAAATGTCAAAAAAATATTTTTTAACTGAAAATCGCAAAAATATGGCAAAATATGCACAAAAGAGATAATTACATGTCATCACATCTCAAAGCGAGAAAAAGTGAAAACCAAACAGCAGGAAACTTAATTGAGCATGTCAAACAAGAACTGTACAAAAATCGCCAGAGGACTAAACTCACCTTTCACACCATTAAACATTGGAATCTTAGTCTCAAAAAATTATTAACGTAATATCATTATATAATTGAAGTATAACGTGTACCAGATATCATATTAGCAATGTTACCTCACGTATAAAGCGCTAAAGTCATACCAGCGGGGAAAAATCTGACATTTGGTAGTGTACGGATTGTTCGACATCATTGGTTAATCATTGGTTTTAGTAAATGAAAGAATGAATAAATATATTTTATTATTAGGAGGAAGAAAAGATGCCAGAGGTACTGTCGGAAAAAAGGGTACTACCTGACAGGTTTCAGCAAATATTTCAAGAAGTGAAAAAGAAAAAGTGTGAAACAGTACACGACACAATGTTATACTTGGAAGAAGAACTGTCTCAAACTATGACTACGTCATTGAAATTGAACGACAATGTAGGAAAGGAATTTAGTAAGTATACAAAGCTATGTTACTATATCACAATACTCAGTGATATCTTTAAAACATCGAGCGAAGAACAATATGGCATTAAAAGTTTGCTTTTCTGTTCAATATTCTGTAATGCGTCAAAGAATAAGACAGCAATCAACTTGAAACCTAATAATTTTCGCCCTTAACTAGAGCGGCTACCAGCTCCTTAGTGTTATACCTATATATATTAGTCGTATAATAAACTGCAATAAGTGATTATCATTAATGAATTATAGTGAAGTTTCAATATCAGTCTTCAAAAGTACAAGTATAATTGCATGAAGTGAACTACAAGAGCCTGTAATGATAAGTACACATTTTCAAAAAACAAAAAACAAAAATATTATACTGAGTACGAAGAAATTATTCTAAATCTTACTTTGTCTTGTTGGTTGATTGATATTAAAAATGTCATCTACTGGACTGTTACTCTGTATACATTTCTTGTCTGTGGACATGAACAGGTATGTGTTATAATCAAGAACATGTAAACTAACTAAAGTTAATGCATTGATCTACTCAGCTGCATATACATCTCCATACATGTATACGGGAGTTATATTAACATTAGATAATTTATAGCAAGAATATGACGAAGATTGCTAGTAGAAACTCCCTATTATAACTAGTGTAGGTATGATTTTATATGAAAAAATCTTCTTTATATCAGATACGGACATTTTTTAATTTCTGTTATAACTATCCTTGTTAGCCCTACGGAGGGTTAAAATGAACATTCAAAACGTTGTCTCAAAATGCTTTCGATATTGAGAAAAATGGAAGGAAACACACATGTCTTTTGTTTACAATTACGTTTGTTTTCAATTTTAATTTACATGTATCTAGTATCAGGAACTAAATGCATAGGACCTACATTCTCACAGAATTTACTCGATATATATTATGCTCGTCCGTAAATTCTCAATGTACTGTTTAGCATACAATATTTGAGTTTCTAGAATAGTTATTGTATATCTATGATTCTATAGTGTTTATTTCCCGCTTGTACTGGACAGTGATCCTTTTTTTCCCGCCATAAGTATTCTTCTTTGCAATATTTACTATTGTTGGCATGCTATTAATGACATCCAGCTGCACGCCAAAGCAATGGGGGATTGTGATATTATGTGTCTATGAATCTCTTCTCATTATTTGTTTCAATGCTCTCAGAAATGAAAATACCAACCATTGTTGTGGTGGTTGAGGGTGATCTTGACACAATTAACCACGTGGCCAGAGCTGTACAGAAAAACATTCCAGTACTGTTGGTGCGAGGATCTGGAATGGCCGCGGACCTGATTGGATACTGTTCAGAGTAAGATTTGTTACCTGCTCTAAATATATAAATTGTATGTTAAAAGGATGAGTAGCAATGCTTAGGCCTTTTTCTAAGATGTTCAGTATGTTATATTCTGTAGACTGTTAACACGCAGAACGTGTTTATGGGTCAATGGATACCAATTGCATATGGTTATATGTGTCATACAATGCCTATCTTCGTTTAAAAAAAACCCCCCCCCCCCCCTTTTTTTTATTCATTGAAAGTATGAAAAAGTATCCGGTATTTGAAATGTTCTTTTCCTTCTTTATCATACTAAATGTTCAACTTTATAAAAAGAGTGTCTTGAAGGGACGACTGCAGACTTGCTTAAAGTTAAAATATAATATTAAAATAACCTTAGATATGTATCAGTTTCTTCCACGTATAATCTGTGTAAACTACATCCAAACATAGAAATGTGCCTTTTGCATCTTACGGTATACTCGTTTATCTGAAAGTCAACTAGCTTTACATACATGTAGCTATATGAATTAGTTTCAACATATATCTCAATCTATGTATTTTTTTCATTCGTATTAAATAGAGAGGAGGATGCTCTAGAGACGCGTGCACCCTTGCTGTTTGGGACATGTTTCTCCAAGGAAGACTTCGAAAAGCTGGAAGAAAATGTTAAGACTATTAGGAAAAATAGAAGCAAAGTAAGTTCAACCACATTTCCTGGTTTGAGAGGCTAAAATTGTATTATCATGCTACAAAAACAAAATCTAAATTTTACGAAAGCCTTAAACATTTGAACTGAAATTAAATTTAAAATTCCGTTATTACGGGGATAAAAGTTGTAATACCGCCTTTCAAAAGTCGTAATAGCGCGAATAAAGCCGTAATAACACCAAAAAAGTTGTTATCACGCCATTGTTACGGTATATAATGCCGGTCATTGTATATGCACAGAGATGAATGTAGACAAGCTTGTTATAATGTATCATAATATTGGTCTGTAGGATGTACACCTCTGAGAAGTACAAAAAAAGCATCTTATCAAACTTTTTTTCTTATATGCATTTTTGGAAAAAAAAAAGTTAATGGCATAGTAGAAAATGCAAAAAACTATATGTCCGAGTGTTCGTTTTTGTGCTATGATCGGTCAAAGATACCAATTTAACACAACATGTGATTTTAGGTGATTTTATGGGTTTTGACCATTTGCAGAAGAAATTCATACAATTTCTTTTAAGTGTGTTTTCAGATATTTATGAATGTTTGCAGAATTGATGAAAATATTATTTTCTTTTAAATTATGGAAGTAAAATTTCTTAATCTTATTCTTTTAACTCAGAAAGCCAATTTTAGCTACCCCTACCCCCTATTTTTTTAATGAAAAAATACTCAGAACCATTTCATTTATGGAACTAATAAAAATCGAACACGGAGAGAAGAAATCCTTTCTTTGAACAGACTGTTTGTATCCTCATATTTGTTCTTTCTCTAGATTACTGAATTTAATATATTGACTGAGAGTGTGACGTCCTTGAAAGATAAAGTGACAGAGAGTATAATTCGAAGATGGGCCATGGCTCATGTTAGGGAAGGGAAAAGGGCTGCCACCTTCGCTACCACCTCCGCTGAGTATCAACCAGACACAAGTCATCTTGCCCTGTCAAATGGTGATTATCATATTTTGTTTAATTAATTGTTCAATTTTTTTTATAAACATGAATAGTATGAAAACCTATGGCATCAACAGTGGATATATGCCCTAACTATCATTATGGTATTTGTTTTACTTTTAGATGTTTTTAGAGCTGATTAATTCATTTGCAAAGTACCACATGAAATGTCCCGTTTTCTACGAGGACCATTCATTAAATAACAGGGCTAGACCATCCATCGAGGAAAGTGTTCTTGCGTCATTTTGCCGTCATCAAACATGAGTACACCAAATGTTTTTTTGACACTCATCTGCAGGTGTACCACTGCCATCAACGTACACTGCTGATCCCAGGAAACAGCCACAACGAAAAGCTAGTAAGATTTGGCCAATGTTGTCGATATCTGATGAGGCTGTCCGCCCTAAATCAAGTAGACCACATCAGACACAGTCTTCGAATTCGTCCTACAATGGTAAAGAAAAGCATACATGTGTACCAAATGATGGAAAAAGAAACGTAAAACCTTCACCTCTGGCAATATACATGCTCTACCAGATACTTCAAACTAACCAAACACTTGTCACTGGCGACAACGTGGTAAGTACATATTTTCTCTCCCATACATAGACGTGTAAGAAATATCTATACCATGTAATGTAGCGGTAGTGAATGGTTTATAATACCATTATTGTCTGAGGGTATACTTGTGATGTCACGATGGAAAAGAATGCATTGTATATTAATTATTTTACCTAAGACCACCGTCAAGAACAAAAATTAGTAGAGCTGAAGAGAGGGGTATGGTGCAATTGGAGCTTTCAGGAACAGAGAGGTATTTAAGAAGCTCTTAGTGTTAACAAGTGATTTATCTTCTATATTAAGAAAATTAATAAATGGTAAGATTGTTAAAAGGGTTTTCAAAATGATACTCCTGTTTTCATTATTGATTTCTCTACTAAATAGAAAACGTTTGATTCCTTTAGGAAGGACGAGCAAGCGACCACTCTTCAAACGATGAACTACTGAAGGTAAGACATAATGGCGGTCCGTATTTTGAACTGCCCACAGGTCATTCCTTAAAAGGAACTATTAAGGTATGTCCATATACTTTATATAATGTATGTGAGACGTTCTCGAAAAGTTGGAATGTTCTTTTTGCCCTGCCATGCTACACGTTATTGAGATTCTGAGTGAACAATTGTGGTTGATATATTTTAAGGAATGACCTGTTGTTTATAAATACGAATTCATATTTCACGTACTAAATTGTTTTGAAACGACCTTAATCGACAAGATATACGCCGTACACAAATACATGTACGTACTGTACACACAGGTAAAATATCAACAAAGCAGCCTTACCTGCTAAATGTCAAATACCAGGTAATGGGTCCTTTTTAGGTATCGCTAGTCAACCATGAAGGAGGTGTAAAATTGTCGCACAAAGCGTGATGGACACAATTAGAAAGATCCAATTTTGTTTTCATAACTGTCAAATCATCGATGAACTCTAATCGGCAATCAACGCCATGTAATTCACCACGTACGCGTTTTAATCCTTTACCTGACTGTACAGTCATATTATTGCCACTTTGATAGTCAAAAGTTACATGCATTGACGATGTGCTGGCGGTATGCGCACGATGTATGCTCGTTGTACGGGAGGTATATTTGGTGCGTTGTGCGATCACCCAACTGTATATCGTGTTCATAACGAAATATTTTGAAAACTATTACAAAGAAGTGGAAGACGGTTTGCGGAGGAATGAATGTGATTCGTAGACGCTGTTAAGATGTTACGTTGATAAACATTTACGCTATCACATATTCTCAAGGTGTCAGGGCCTGATGTTTTTTTTCTGATTATGCTAATAGTTTATATATCAACATGTAGCATTAAAATGATGGTTTGATAATAATGTATGTTGACACATTAAACAACTATATAAAGGAAAATGTCATTAACTCCTGCATGTATCATCTCTTATATCCGATTCTGTGAAGCGCAAATAGAATAACCCTTCGATATGGGACCGTTAATTATGAGTGAAAAAAGGGACATTTTATTTTTATTTTTGAAGTTGGTAACTCATATTTATCTTTTCAGTCTGGCCGAAATCTTCTGCGATATGCGCTTCAGGAAAACCTGTACGACATCACTGAACTATTGGTTGATAAAGGAATAACACTACAATGGTCAGATGGTGAAACATGTAGAAGTTTTGATAAAACATTTCAAACTGGAAGAAAAACAGATGGAATGTCTCTATATGAAGAGGTAAAGTTTATTTACTGTTATTTATGTACTAAAATGAAGATTTTCATATAACTTTATTGGTTAAAAATAGCATAATATAAACATAGATTCAAAGTGTTTTATTTAGCTTGACATTAATTCCATTACTATTTTAGTAGGTTTGGCATCATTTGGTCAATGCTTGGTATTTTTGTCGACCGCCGAGTAAATGGCTGGCTCCAACAATGTAAATTCTTTCATTTGGGCACAATACACAGAGATCAACACAGTTCTTGTCACAGAAATAAGATAAGACCCTGTAAACAGCGGCCACTTTGCTACGTGCACTTTACCCCGGAAACGGCGGTAAAAAAAACTATCGTCCTGACGGCATCATGACAAGACGTGATCACTGTCACTTCGAACGATGGGGACGTGACATAAGACTACCCTCAAAACCCATATTACAGGGCGGCATATAACACTTCATAATCTTGCAACTATTGCATCAAATCAAATTTCCTAGTCAAATTATTTGTTAATATGAAAAGGCAAAGCCTTAAAAGAGCGAAGCTTTTGTTGATCTCTGATATTTACTGATTCAGAATGAGATAACACTGCTTTCAGAATGAGGCAAGATAAAATTTATTTAAAGTCGGCTAGTCGAGAGATAAACATAAAACATAAACTCTAATGAGATTAAGACCGACATAACAATAGGGGAGATCGGGGCAAATTCGGGCCATTTTTATTAAATGCCGTTCTGGGAAGTATGGCAGCACGTCCATTTTTTGAACATTATTTTATTTTCCCTGTCGGATGGTCGGATGGACGAACGAGCCCCACAATGGCATAAGTTAGGAAAGGCATTCGGGTAAGTTCGGCCCCATTAGAATCTACAACGTCAGATTGTACCGCCAATTTTACGACTTTTTATGTGTTACATGGGCCGAACTTGCTACGGTATTATTGGCCGAAACTGTCTAGGTCCAAATTGATATTTCAATAAATTCTTATCGTACAGCAATATGGTAGTGAGTGCTTGGCTTGGCTTGTAAATATATCATTTGAAGCTGTCAGTGTGTTACACGTTTGACCGTAAAATATAGCAATTTCGTTTACAGAAAGTTCGCATAATTAGAAACGAGATCATTATTTTCTTTCTACCCTCTCAAAAGTGATTTTCTCCTGTTTAGTAATTTTACATTAGAGTTTTCCTCGCCAATTTTTTTCCTGTGAATGCCCAGCCAACTAAACTGTTAAGATCTTTAAAGTTGTAAATATTAGCTCAAAAACAAAAATATCAGGGATGGCCGAACTTGCCCCGGTCTCCCATGTGTAGATTTTTTGTATCGTTGTTCATTGGTAAACGTATATTCACAATACATTTTTGAATCAATGACGCCATTTTCAAAGCTAAAGTAGATGTTTGTTCTTGTGCGTAACGTATATGATGGGTCGGTGGCGCAGTGGATAGCCCGCTCGTCCTCACCAAGATGGCCGGATTCGATCCCGGTTACCTGCCCGACCACGCCGGTTTTCTCCGGATACTACGGCTTCCTACCACATTTAGAATTAAATCATCTGCGTGCTTCCGTCAGGTCACAAATAGAATGATTGAAATAAGGTGGTGGGGAAAACATGTTTGGTAATTGCTATAGAAAAAAGTGCACATTATATATTTGACGATAAGTCTATAAAAGTAAATGTATAGAGATGTTAGTTAAAAAAATGAAATTAAAAAACAACAACATTGTAATACTTTGATGTAACTGAGATTGTCGTTATATCGATATTTAGAATTCCATCCTGAAACACCGGATTGAATTTCAAGTTATGTAACTGTCACTGAGGTTTGACAGGTAATGATGCCAAATAAAATTAAACAGTTTCTGTCTGTAACTAGTTATAAATCGGCATGCGTTGTAAAAAAGTAATACGTTGCTGAAAAAGGACTTTGAACTCGATTTCCTTGTCTTGACAATTATTGTTGATATCGACATAAATCAATCATCCATTGTTCTTTTATGAGTGGTGATGCATACATAAAATATGTAAAGACTATAACCAGACTTTCAAAAATGTTAATTATTTCGTTCATATTCTCAACAAATGGAAATAAAAAGCTGAAAATAAATGACCACGTTGACCTATTGGTTTAATGCGGCTTTTTATGTAAATATCTCCCGGTAGAAATATTAACAGAACCTGGTTGATGACAAAAAGGATCTTCAGAAAACATCCGCGTTTTGACTTTTTGTGCCTGTGGCAAAAACTGAAATTAAAATGAAATGAGGCAACGACAAAGAGATACATGCAACGGCCATCAGTTCCAAGATTTTCCGGTTATTTTTTATCCTTCCGATGAAGGCATATGGAGTGTGACGTGCTTGTGACGTCATAGTATGATAATCTCTGAACGACGTTTCATGCGTACTAGTATCAAAATGTATGTGATCGATTTTTTTCACTCAGAATGTATATTAATTTTTATCTTAATAAACAAGTTTTAAAACATGGGTATTGTTTTCCCAATATGGAGATGTTCATGTATGGGTTGAAACACAATTGTCTTTGTTTCAAGGATACACTTCCGGTTTCCCAACTGGACGTCTACTTCCGGACAAAAATAAATAAAGGCAAGGTGTAGCAAGGGGAAGCAACTTTGTTTACGCACGAATGTGTTACCATTAAAGATCTTCGCTCTTATAATATGGTACCAAACACCATATTAATTGAACTACGGCAACCCGTAGGCTTTTACAACGTCATAAAACCACTGTATGAAAATAAAGTATGGCATCAAACGCCGTATAGATTTTAACAACGGCATCAAATACCATATAAATATATACAACGGAAGCAAACACCGTATGTATTTAAATTACTTCATCAAGCATCGTATACATAGTTACAATGGCAAACTGATTTATTTAAACAACGGCACCAAACATTAATTTGTACAAAGGCATCAAACACCGTATACATTTGCACTACGGCATCAAACACCGTATAATTTGTACTACGGCATCAAACACCGTATAATTTGTACTATGGCATCAAACGCCGTATAAATGTGTACAAAGGCATCAAACACCGTATACATGTATACTACGTCATCAAACACCGTATAATTTGTACTACGGCATCAAACACCGTATAATTTGTACTACGGCATCAAACACCGTATACATATGTACTACGGCATAAAAGTTCACATTATTGTATAAAGTACATTAATTCGACACTAGTCTTGTCATGATAAACTGGGAGGGAGACTTGTGTTATATTTGACACAAAGAATAAAATAAATTGTGAATAATGATTTGCAGCAACAAAGTTTTTGTTTTGTAGTAACTTTTTGTTTTTCTGAATTTTGGTAACATTATATTACACTATCAACATTTAATGTGTTCTCTTATCAGAACGCTTACTTGTTTTACTGTCAATTCATACTATGCCTTTATATACCTAATTTAAATTGATAGTGTATGGTATTAAAATCAACAACACAAATAAAAGGAAAAACACCTATGGTATATAATAACAAAGCACAAACATAATCTTATTAATCTGAAAAAAATAAAGTGGATCTTTGCATCGCTAATTTTAGTAAGATTGACAAATAAAAATGTTATTTTGTAGTGAACGTTTAAACGTTGAATTTAATTTGATGTAATGTTTTAAGCAGAAAGAAAAGAAAGAGACAAATAAATAGGAGGAAACAATAGATAAGTAGGAAGGAATGGACATGTATCTTAAGACATAACTATGGTTAACTTTTAGTTCACTTTTATAATAATATACAACAATCATATAGCGCCCTATATAATTTGTAAAATTACTCTAAAGCGCTTTACAACATATGGATAATAGTAATGGTTATAATTGTGAAAACAAAAAACAAAGGCCTACAATCACTTTTATACATTGAACAAATAAAAGGATGGTATTTACATGACGTCTTTGCAAAGATTCTAAAATGCAGACGTGAGGAGGTGAGTTTTGATGTCCCTCTTGAACTTGGCCAGGGTATTTGATTTTCTAATAGCAGATGATAAGCTATTCCACAACGTAGCCGAAACCCTCCCAAAGTATCTGTTTCCGTAGGTCACAGTACGAGATTTTGGGACACACAACAAAGACTCCGACCGCAGTGATCGTGACGGCTGATACAGGGTAACAAGCTCCTGTAGGTACTGAGGAGCTGTGCCATTCAGTGTCTTGTATGTGTACACCAGAATTTTGTACTGCGACCTGTATCATACGGGTAACCAGTGCAACGAATAAAGCCCAGGTGTGATGTGCTCTCTCTTTCGAGTAAGAGTAACTAGCCGTGCTGCAGTGTTCTGGACCCTCTGCAGACGACTAGTTAGTTAGTTAGTTCTTATATACCACAGAGCAAGGCGTTACCATAATCCAACCGAGAGGTAACAAGTGAATGTACCAAAATATTGCATGCATATGCAGTTAAAAACCGCCGAATACAGCTGATGTTCCTGATCTGGTAGTAACAGGATTTGGCAATATCGTTCACTTGTTTCTTCATGTTCAGTGAACTATCAAAGTATACCCCTAGGTTTTTAACAGCTGGAACAGTCTCAATAGTTCTGGCTCCGACCTTGAGCTGGAGAGCCAATGTTTGCTGACACTTTGGGGAAAAGACGATTAGTTCCGTCTTTTCCTGATTAAGCTTAAGCATTTATAACATGTATGTGAAAAGATTAAGATTTACAATAATTCTAGGGATTACAACAATACACTATTTCTTGTTATGAATAAGTTTTGCTATTGATAATGCAATAATCAATCTCATTCTGTTTTTTATAATTCATTATCAAAATTAGTCAGATTAGTAGTTAGTATCTAACCGACTCACATACAAACATGTCCACACATATGTACAACCGATAAGAATAGAAAAGACCACATACCATGCAACCAACCAACTCGCATACAAACATGTGCACATACTTGAATAACTGTAAGGAGCAAACAACTTTGATACACGCAAGTTCACATGCATGCTCAACTGCTAGGAGCAAACAAACATGCACACAGGCAACCCAATCGCATACACGTTCACGTTCACATACGATGCACATATACAACAAGGAACAAACAAAACGTATATGCAGCCAATCAAGTCATATGCGTGATTACATACCTATATATAACTGTAGGGGCCAAACAGCATGCAAACACAGCCTACCAACTCACATACACATATGTTCACATACAAGTACTGTTTGACTGTCAGAAGAAAACGTCACACATGGGCAATGCTGCGTAGTCAATCAACTCAGATATAGGCATATGTACATACACCTTATACATGTAAAGAGCAATATACACACTGTGTCACAACATCTATAAAAGTCTGTCATCAAATACACACCAGTGGACTGACAGAGACCTAAAAAGGATACATTTGGTAGCTACTGTACCTATAAGCAATATATGTTTAATGCCATAAATGGTATTTGAAATCATCAGGAACTTAACACACTATCATTTATTCCTAGAGTCATTCACTACTGAATTCTTTCCAACCATAAAAGGACAAGAAAGAGCCGGAATAAATAGCAATGAGAAAAATTTGAAAGATATAGTAAAATAAGTCATTACAATGCATTAAACTAGAGGTCATTTTAAGCCTATGTGTTTATCTTACCTTCATTCTTCACTTTTATTCGTCTTGTCCTTTTTCGGATTTATTATACAGACGGTGTTTATGGATTCTTATCATTCTATGTTCTCGTCAAATGTAATGGATATGTGCTCGCCTTTCCTCGATTTTACTAATATGAAAGCATTTGATTGCAAATAAAACCGTTAATTGGGCGAACCTCTTATTTTCAATAAAAAATCACTTGTACTGAAGCATGAAAATTAAATGTCTTTATTTATATATACAGATATGGAGAGAAAGAGATGAGAAACAAGATGATCAGGTAAAAAAAACTTGCTTAAAGGTCATTTTTGATTCATTCAAGATAACTAAATGATGACTTATTTGTCCGAATGATTTCTATTTTATAATACCTGAATAATCACACCGATGTATGTCCAATATATAACAATCGGGCTATGGCTAAGATATCAAAGTTAGGTGTTCAACAACTTAAACTATTCGATTAAGAAACAAAAGTCAACTTCGGATATTTATTGACTCAACTAAACATTTCTCCCCACGCTGTTAAATGTATATTTATATCCATTATCTTACAGACGGGTTCCTGTACTGCAGATATTATAAAGGTATGCTGATTTTGACGTTTGAATAACCGATAAGTTCGGGGTAAACAGTGATGTCTATAATTAAATTATCTTTCAGTCTACATATCATCTAAATCAAAAATTAAGAATGTCATTTAATTTCAAAATTGCCGCCGCTCACTTTTCAAATGATATAACATGCGTTAACCTGAATCATCAAATACACCCATCTACAGTAACTGTATAAGTTTCTACATTGAATGTGTCTACACCTCACTTGCATTATTTTACAGTTTCCTGAAGATGACGGTTTCCCACAAGACAAAGAAGACGTATGGATGATTGGATGTGAAATAATATCCTACAAAATTGGTACAATTTTAACTAATATTACGATGGCTGTGTAACCCTAGCTTTTAATTATCAAACAACGTTCATCTCAAATGTTCTTGAATATTTAGCTATAACCTGAATGTTGTGTTCAATAGAATTTGCTTTCGTTCCAGTCACAACGCCCTACCCTTCCACAATTAAAAAACAAGTCAAGAGAAAAGAAAGAAACACAGAAAAAGAGAAAAAACGGGAAGAAAAAGAAAGAAAAAAGGAAAAAGAAAGAAAAATCATGACGCCTTCCGACTTACTCCTTTGGGCAGTCCTAACGAACAAAAAGGAGATGGCAGAATTATTTTGGAAACGTTCTAATGAGCCTATCCGTAAATATCAACAATATTTGTATTGTTTCTTAAATAAGATAGCTATCCTGGTAATATTGTAGTTGAAACGAAAACAAGAATATCGTCTAGAGATTAACGAAAAACCTTAAAATGATTTGGTCTCCAGGTTTATTTCAAAAGAACAACATCATGACGTCATAATTCCTTGTTCTTACACTACAATAGTAAAGTGACGTCACAATCTCCCAAAATTTGATGGACAAACTTGTGCATATTGCACAAAAGTGAAAGCTACCTGTTTTTAAAATTGGCCCTTATATCTTAGTTTATACTCACCTACTTCAATATAGTAGTAATATGAATGCCTCGTCTCAATTTTATGTCGTATTAAATGCTTGTCGAAATGTTATTTCTTTTGTTGTGGTTTAACACTATCACTTGTTTTGCAATTAGTTTTTTTTTTTAACGATAACCAGGTATCACATTGACGAATTTACATGACTGACACTAGTAATAACCTTTTGGGATTCAGTGTCCACCTGTGAGACAACATGGCTTCATTTAACTAACGTATCTAGATCAATGACCTATATTTACTATTTAACTAACGTATCTAGATCATTGACCTATATTTACTATTTAACTAACGTATCTAGATCATTGACCTATATTTACTATTTAACTAACGTATCTAGATCATTGACCTATATTTACTATTTAACTAACGTATCTAGATCATTGACCTATATTTACTATTTAACTAACGTATCTAGATCATTGACCTATATTTACTATTTAACTAACGTATCTAGATCATTGACCTATATTTACTATTTAACTAACGTATCTAGATCATTGACCTATATTTACTATTTAACTAACGTATCTAGATCATTGACCTATATTTACTATTTAACTAACGTATCTAGATCATTGACCTATATTTACTATTTAACTAACGTATCTAGATCATTGACCTATATTTACTATTTCAGTTACTGCTCTCATTGCGAGTGCTATACTGAGGAAGATGTCAAGGAAGGCAAATGCTTTAAAGGAAGAGGCTATGGAAAAAGAACTTCTGTTACACTCACGGTAAAGAAAATTCATAAACATTTGTTGTCAATGTTATATACATAAACCTTCCTGTAGACGTTAATGCAAAAAGTTGACTTATACCTAGACCAAATGTTTAATTTGGAAATATGTTGTTTGTCAACAGCATTTTTTGTCAGAGAGCCATAGATGTCACACAAAAGTTTTACGAAAACAACGAACATGAAGCTATCTTTGTTTTGGAACGAGAAAACAAGGTATCTGTATGGGGTATTACAGAGAGCGCTCTTGAATTTTCCCAAGCACATAATATTCACAAGTTTGTTGCACACCATGTTCCCCAGAGGAGCTTCAACAGGATTTGGTATGGCGGGGATTTCTTTCACTCCAAAGAGTTGTACAAAAAAAATGTGAGTTTGTGTATATTTGCACGTGATGATTTATTAGTTATTTTTTGTTATGATAATTTCTGATTATTTCTCTAAACAGTGCTTTGAATCAGGTATAACTGTTAGAATGGCCCTGCATCGAAGATGCGTGTGACCTATAGTAATCAGGTTGTCCGTCCATCCGTCCGTTCGTCTGTCTGTCGTGAACATTTCGTTTTGACACTTTGAAGCAATATTGGTCAGAACTAAACAAGGAGTCAATTGACCAAAAGCCAAGGTCATGGTGTCAAAGGTCAAGGTCAAATTTTGTATCTTTTCACTGATGAACATTTTGTTATGACATTATGAAGCAAAGTTGTTCAGAACTTAACAAGGAGTCAACTGACCAAAGTCCAGGTTACGGTGTCAAAAGGTTCAAGGTCAAGTTTTGTATTTTTCACTGATGAACATTTTGTTAAGATATTATGAAGCAAAGTTGGTCGGAATTGAAGAATACATGTAAGTCAACTGACCAAAGATCAGGGTCACTGGGTTAAAGGTTCAGGTCGTTTGGGTCCAAAGGTCAAAAACAAAGTGGATCTCTGACTTTGACCCTGGCTCTTGATGGGGGGGGTATTTAAGGTGAAATAAAACAAATCAAAGCTAACAAATTGCCCAGGTATTTACATTTCTGTTAGCCCAGCAAATATGGAGGTGGAAGGAAACAAGACTCACATCATAGTACATGTAAAATGTATATTTTGCTTCCTTGTAATTTTTTATTGTCAAACGTCAAGCGCAGCTACATGTATATGGGAAGATTGCTTCTTGATGATTATGGGGGATATATTGCCACAAGACGGGGCCCTTACTGACCTGTCAGTGTTCAAGTTCAATTAAGCAATAAATGTTTTACCAAATGGTATAATGGTCCTATAACACAAATTCCTTTGATGACAAACTTAATAAAGTCCGGTTTAAAAAGAATGCCGATATTTATTTACTGTTATGAGCATAATGTTATTTTTCTCATTGATAATTACGATATCACATGATTATCTTTTTTGTAATTTCATTTATATCATGATATTACATAAGATGGCAGCTCATTGAATAAGATAATTTATATTTTTTAACAAACAGTGTAGTTCAAGGTTATATTTTATTGAAATTAAACGTATCAGTATTCTACTCTAACTTAAACCTAACTCTGAACGTTTTTAAGTAGTCATCTCATAGAAAGTCAAACATACAACTTTTCTTTTGCCTTAGTGCTAAAGATTTTATAATTGTAATAATTTTCAAACTTTCATACCAATCTCTAGAAGCGGCAAACGGCCTGCGGTAAGTGGCGGGTTTATGATAACAAATCATTCTTCTTGGCTCCATTCATGAAGTTTACTTACCACTACGTAAGTATTATATGCAAATATCACATTTTCTTTCCAGTGAATCTTTGATTTTAAAATATAATTCGTTAGAAATAATTTCTATTGGATTATTAATTGAGGTGATTATGTCCCTATAATAATACATTTTTTCTATACATGATACAGAGTTTCCATTGACTTAACCAAGTCTTACTAATATGACAATATTTGACAGCTTTTCTTCTGCTTGTTCCTGGTTTGTCTGAGTGCTTTTGTCATGACAAACATTAAACAAACCAAATGGCCAATTGACGAGAAGTCAATCTATGAGTACTGCGCGTACCTGTGGCTGTTTGCAGATATTGTCGAGGAATATGTGCCACCGGCCGTCTACACGATCGGGGTGAGTTTCCTTTTTTTTATTTGGCAGGTTTATGCAGCTATTGGGATAATGGTAGACAATAGAACAACTAAACCTCTTTCTTGTATCATTTTATAGTTACGCATATCAATATTTTGACGAAACCTGTGATAAAGCATAATTTCGAATTATTTATGATAATTCAATGATATTTACAAAATGTGCACCTTCATCTGTATATACTGATACTTGATTATTTTCAAGTTTTCCAATCATTCCTGATACAGTGAACAAAGCTGTAACATTATCATAGAAAGTTATCTTCATCAGTAAGATTTGTTTCCCTTGCTATATTATCTGCAATCTTCTATGGTACATTAACGATGCATGTTAACCCCAGTGAGAGAAATATAACATGGCTGAATACACAACATTGGTGTGTGTAATTTGTATATACAGAACCCATCTACCGACGTTTGTCAAGTCTGTGTATGAACAATCATCCATCACCAACACCACAAAATTACAAAAAAAATGCATCATTTCGAACAATAAATCACTAAAAAGAATTCCCACTTGTGGGATTTGATATCCACCTTTTTATATTTTAAAACCCGAGCTTTTTCCCAAATTTTTTTGATTGATGTTTTCACCAGATATTGGCTATTTCAGCATTTTTCTGCTAAAGAATTCTCCTATCTGGGCATTTTGCTTTAGACAAGCGTGAAGGTGTTCAACAGCTTGTATGTGTATTTTCCCAGCAACGTTTGCACCCGATGCAATGGAGGAGAAGAGCCTGGAACCACATGCACAACTTCTGGAATGGAATGGACGCTTTGTCGTACTTCGTCCTTATCACTGGGATATGTTTCCGATTTGGTTACGAAACAGACGATTTTGGAATATCCAGACGATTGTACAGCGTTGGTTTATTTCTCATGTTCATGAGGTTTCTCCATGTTTTACTGATTAGGAGGAAGATTGGCCCAACTGTCCTCATGTTAAAAGAGGGGGTATGTTTCCGTTTTTTGTTTGCAAATTAATTTAAGTATACATAAAACATCGACGACTACTCACAGACGAACTGGCAACGTAAATAAAGTCGATTTTTTATATTCGTCATCATGATCCTATTGGGAAAAATATGCTTTTTACTAGTGTGATATAAGGTTTGATGCTTTTAATAATACTTATTAGTTCCCCGTGCTAATATTGTTGTCGTTTCCCTGGTTCTCGCTCAGAGGACTTGACATTCCTTTCTCCATGTACCTTTAAATCCTTTAAAATTACCTCTCAATTTCCCCTTTCAGCTAAAAGAGCTGATGCGATTTGTGATTATCATGGCGGTGTTTGTCTTGAGTGCTGGAGTATTTTACCATGCCAATCTCTACCCAAACCACTACGACATGTTCTCACCTCTTGGCATGAGATATTGGAGTGTCTGGAGAATCATATATTACCCTTACTGGTCTATTTACGGCGAGTTCAAAAGTGAAATCGAAGGTGAGTAACATAGTTAGGACACATTGAACATTGACAGATTGACATGTATTCGATTTCCATCGAAAATCTTATTATCAAATTTTCCCCGTATACCAGAGTATGATCGTACATCTGATATGTCGTTCTATCCTATTTACACCGTCCTTAGGATTCCTGTTATAATACACTATTTTCGTCAACATTTGTATTTCTCATTTATGCTAAACGTATGAACAAAAATGGTAAATAAAATAACTAAACATAACCCAATAGATAAACAAATATAAAGCAAATAATAGAAAAGCAACAAAACGTCGTCTACCTATGTGCACTTATTTGAACTATTAGTCGACGAGAGAAGACATCAAACCGATATGAAAACAATACATCCATAACTTTTAGCGCTTTCTGAGTCCCATGTTGCAACTAACATGTTATATCCCATCCGACCTAGAAACGTGTCCAGTTGTTTTATTCGAAACGAGAATTATAAAGTTGGCTCGGAGGTAAATGTACAGGTCAGATGCATTTAGTTTTCGACACTAATAGTATTGAAATCAGCGATGGTTTGTTTTGTCTCTGCACAGTGCATTATGCATCATACTGGAGAAGTTGATCCGTACTTTTCAACAACATTAGCAGTCTAATATCTCCGTACGTATAACCGCCACATTAAAACGAATGCAGCAATTAGTTCCGATTATAGATTTAGGAAATAAAGCACATCACGTGTGATATGGGCAAGGAATCTCTAGCTAAACAAAATTGATTGACAAAATATCGGCAATCTTACCCATTAACTTAAGTTTGGATATTGATTCGTTGTTTGAGTTGTTAGTCATGCAATAAGTGTTCCGGCCGAATTTAGTTACGAAGGCTTTCAAATTCATAATAATAACACAATTACATCTTTCAAAATTAGGAGAGGATTCAACTGGCAGCTGCAGTTTCAATGAAACCGTCTACATGAACGACCGCGACATCGAGAGGTGCCCTGAAAAAGACTGGATGGTCACCCTTATGTCTGGATTTTTCGTCCTGATTCTGAACCTGTTATTGGTGAATCTTATTATCGCTATGTTCAGGTGAGTATTTGATGGGTTTCTTCAGAATTTATGGTGCCATTAATAGCAATTTTGAAAGCATCATACTATCCTTTGTGATTACTTCCACAAGCTTAATTAATAGTGTAATTGGTATCTGGTGTCGTTCCCGTCCCGGTTCAAAGATTTGGACTTCGGGTTCATTAGGTGGTTTAAATGGATTCAACACTAAATACAAACCGAGTCTCGGTTGAGCTATTTCTTAAGTACATTTGTACTTTGCCTTTATCAACGAGGATAAAGACATTTGTCGAGATATTCATTTCAACTTTCTTTCACATATAGTAACCATTTCATTATGTACATATAAAAACAGGATCAATAGTTACTGTAACAAAACAATAACCCCTTGTATCTCGTAAGCACTTTGTTATCAGTCTCTCAATATTACATAAATTATGTTATGAACGCACGTTCAATACCAACAAGCAGACCTCTGATTGCCAGTAGGTTCCCATAATTTCAATAGTGACATCATAACTGGGACAATAGTATGATATCACAAACTTTTGATTGAATTGTGACGTCACAAAAAAGGCGTACAGTCGAACTAGCGGTACTTAGAATTCACGAACACGTGCAACACATCTTGGTTAACAAATGGTAAACAATTTATTGTATTTGTTCCTATTTCACGTTAATTTATGGTATAGATAGCCGGGCGATTGCTAAAAGAAAAATGAAAACCAAACCATAGGCTCATTTTATAACTCTAAAAAGAAATGATAAATCACGTATTTGTAAACCTTTTATTTATGTAACGATATGCATTGCACTATTATATATCATACATGCACTACGTCTAACGTCTCCTTTAAGGTTCACGGTCTTGTACCCAAGTTGTCAATAATTCCAATTTGAAAAAGAAAAACAAAATTCGTTCTACTCAAAACCAATTACTCTTATACTACATAGCTATCATTGAAAGTTGCATTGTGTAGTCTACACATACAGCTCTCACCGTAACTCTCCTATGTCTTTTGTATATAATATCTTTCTACTAACAATGTATGTTACCCTGTACGTAAGTTTGGCAGCAGATAAATTTATGTATAACCCTTTTTCTACTGCGGGAGCCGATAGAGAAATAGAATGCAATCATACATACATAAGATCTAGGAGGGTGGACAGAAATGTTATGAACCGGCACAATACGAAATAGTCACATACACACACACTTACACAATCCTCTCCTCATCAACGTTTCACAGGTAAACAACCACAGGTAATGTTCTTCTTTATATTAATATGTTAGGTATACCTATGTTTATAACGTGTGTTATGTTATCTCAATACAAAATCATACTGTTTCCTTTTTTGATAGTTTTCGATTTGAGGAAATAAAGAATAACTCGGACCAGTTCTGGCGATTCCATAGAAGTCAGGTGATCATGGAATTCCGACGGAGAGTCCCTGTGCCGTTTAACTTGGTGGTGTGGCCATTAAAGATGGTCAGATACTGTTTTACAAAAAAGTGGAAAAAAGAGCAGAACAAAAAAGGTATTTCAATCAATTCCAGTAAACTAAGACAAAATGTTTATATATCATTCTTTTCCTTTATTTTGATAAAACGCAATGTGCATAACATCTGACATTGTTTCGATCTTTTCTTTTAATTATTTCGAATGATACAAAAACAAGGAGATTTTGAATTCTGTTCATAATGTTAATAACATTTTGTTTTATTTCAAGTCGAAGTTGCCTTCCAATCATGTCCTTTTTTGTTGACAAAATATGTTTATGTTTTTGTTTAAAAACTGGAAAATTATATTGGATTGATTATGATTTTAAAAGATTGACACTATCAGACAATGAATTCACGTATATTCTTATCTGAATAATCTATCATTATTATGAAATTTTCTTATGACACCTTAGATCTGAAAGCCAGGGCAAAACTTAACACCAAGCAGCAGATATTGGCACGTCGTTGGATGTTATCCGGTAAGACAGATTGTTGTTATTGGACCTTTTCTGTCCTATACTAAGTGTTACCAATATATCTGTCTGTGTGGAACTCAACTCAAAATATATTATGATCATTTTATACAGCTATATATATATAGTTATATATGGTTGTCATACATGTATATTGATTACACCTTCTCCTCGTGTTATTCAGTCATTCAGAAAGGATGAGTGCATATAACGCCTTATTTTCTCTTTACAGTTGAGTAAGATAGCAGCTAATTCTTTTACGTGCGAAAGTACAAGCGCGAAAGCTCGATCGAAAAGGTGGGGAGGGGTTTAACCACATATACCAAGTGTTTTATTTCCAAAACACGAGTAAAAAGGCAAACTGCTGCATTTGTTTTAAAACGTGTATGAATGAAACATTGGGCCGTATTTTTTTAAATGAAAAATAACAAAAACAATCAGTTTCACCAACAAGTTTTTAAATAAAACGTTATACACGACAGGGATGTCCATAATGCCGTTTTAAAATTAAAAAGAAAATTATTAGGGTTTTTTTTAGAAAAAAGTCTATGATTTGTATTTTAAGTTCAATGCATGCAGACTGCACACGTAATATTTGCAAAACGTTAGCACCTTATTGACTGACAACTTAGGGTTTGCCGACTGAAAAATGTTAAGTTATTTATTCTGTTTTTGACAAAAACCAATAAACAGTCACTGTTCAATTCTCTATATTTAATCGTATCCCCAATATTGTGAAGGGTTCAACTAGTACGCATAATTAGCATTAATTGTATTTGTCCAATAAATATATAATTACGTGAATTTGACACTTTTAAATATATTCATTTACAATTGACACATTGTAGATGAATTTTTGCTTTTATTGTTATTTTTTCTTTTTTAAACAGAAAGCGATGCTCGGGAGTTCTAGCGCAAATCACTAACGAAACACAAAATGTGTAAAAAGGGTACAGCGGAATGTTATTCACAGATACGGACAAGCCCTGGCTTCAGCCTTTATGTGAGAACAATCAAGTGTTCAAGATATCGTAAAAAAATGGGAAAATGTAAACAAAGGAGTATGTACATTGCAGTTTCTATTCTACGTCATAATGCCGTAAAGAAAATAGTGTTTTCCTGTTTTTAAAATTACTCCGTACAGAATATTGTACTAAAGCTGTTTGTACAACATTAGCCATTTAATATCATTTTTGATATACATGAAGTTGATGACTGCTTTTAAACATAGATTAGGCATGCATAGCATTAGAAAAGAAAAGGGAAATAACTTTCTTCCTTAGGTATCTGATTTATATATTTGTTTGATTTAATTGAAAAGGTGAATTTTACAGGGTTTTTATTTTGTTTTTGTTTTGTTGTTTTTGTTTTTGGTTATTTTTTATCATATTATTTTTCAATGTATACTTAGTTATATTTTAGTTTGTGGATATGATTGTGATATTGTGTAATAGTTCATTAAGTTTCCTAGTTATTGATTGTGCAATGTAAATTCACATATAAAGCCTTATTTTCTCTTTACAGTTGAGTAAGATAGCAGCTAATTCTTTTACGTGCGAAAGTACAAGCGCGAAAGCTCGATCGAAAAGGTGGGGAGGGGTTTAACCACATATACCAAGTGTTTTATTTCCAAAACACGAGTAAAAAGGCAAACTGCTGCATTTGTTTTAAAACGTGTATGAATGAAACATTGGGCCGTATTTTTTTAAATGAAAAATAACAAAAACAATCAGTTTCACCAACAAGTTTTTAAATAAAACGTTATACACGACAGGGATGTCCATAATGCCGTTTTAAAATTAAAAAGAAAATTATTAGGTTTTTCCTTGTTTTTCCAAGCTAGTTCCTTGTATACGTCTTCTGACAAAGATTATCAACGTAATTGATTTATAGGTTTATATGCACTTACTCTGGTAAGATCATTTGAGATCAAATGCTAAATGTCAAAAGTTACAAAATGGTTGCAAATGCAAGGATGGACATAAAAAATGAAACGCCTTGCTGATTTTGGAACAGAGAAAATTGTTTAATGGAGATCTTTATTATACTGAACGTTTGAATACCATATATCCATCTCCTTACCTCAGTCAGTATCATGCGCGTGAGATAATTAAATGAAACTTGTGCAGCATTTATCAAACTTCAGGTTGTTTTTGGTAAGTTAAGGTTTATATGAACCTCACCTGCTGCGCGTGACAGACAAATTGTCAAGAGGAAGTAACTCCTGTGAACAATCGCGTCCGAACTATGGAGACGGTGACAAAGTCGAAAGCATACGTTCTGATTAAAGTTACAGAGTTTTAACAGTTTTGTGTACTTCATAGTTTCATCGGGTAACGAATCTTAGTTAATATATAATTTCATATTTGTCTGAATTTTAAAAGTGCTGACAGAATGAACAATTGAAATGTTAATATATATCTAATGTATGTTTACTCATTTAATCATTTAATCATTTAATTGTTCTACAGTTAAAACTTACAAGAACAAAACTTCTGTTGTATAACGCAGCTTATTACGTGCATATCAGTCTATTCTGGATAAATAAAGTTCTTAACTTTCAATAAGTACTTAATTTGTCATACAAGTGCTATTAACTGTAAAAGAACACTACGTATTGGAATTATTTGCCTAACCGCATTCATGTATTAAAAACACCTTCTTGACGTGTTATGATGATTTTGCGCATGTGCAAGCTGTCGTAAAATACTTACGCGACGTTGCTTGAACCAACTCTAAAGCGTAATCTTTCCATAAAAAGGCGAGTCAATACATCTTTTTTTACAGAGATACACAGTCGTTATGACTAAATGCTTTTGCGTCAGATGCATTTCCCCTCCTGTATATTCTCTATAAGCTTAATTATATTAACAAACTAATTCAAATTTCAACAGTTTTAAAATTATGTCATTTTAGATGCGATAGTGTGTTTTTCATTTAAAAAATTTAATTTAAAATTGAAAATGTATATGTGTATTTTAGCTGAAGAATAATGTGATGTATTACAGATTTAAAATTATTTTTACAATGTAATTGACCTTTATGCTTACTGGATTCTATACAAGCAGCCCCAGAACTGTTATACTGTATTCAATACACCTGGACATGAATAAGCAGAAGGCAAACATGATAGTGACAAAAATGACATCAAGCCGTCATTACTACAAAGAACAAAGCGGTTACAATGTACCTTGACGTACACGAAACTCAGATCAAATTCGTCATTTCGTAAGGAAATAAGAATTTTAATCATTCCTTTTTAGTGTCACAATAACACGTTAGTCCACAGGGGATCCTAAAAATAGGACTAATTGACATAGAAGTTCAACCGTCTTCTGTTTCATCGAAGTAACCCTCCATGTAAAGCTAGGTCACATATAAGTTAGTCATGTCTTCATAGCTAGGGTTGTGACATTAAAAAACATTTAATTCCAATGAGCATATTACAAAATCGCACAAACAAAGAGAATATTTCCGAATGAGACTTTAATCCGTCGAGTATATGATTATTTTAATTTAACTTCCTTCCAGTGAACGTGATCATAAATTAAATAGACATGCCCAGTGTTCGTGATCATATCTGAATTATACCCGTCCAGTATCTATGATCATATCTGAGTTATGCCCGTCTAGTGAACGTGATCATATCTGAATTATGCCCGTCCAGTGTTCGTGATCATATATGAATTATGCCCGTCCAGTGTTCGTGATCATATATGAATTATGCCCGTCCAGTGTTCGTGATGATATATGAGTTATGCCCGTCCAGTGAACGTGATCATATCTGAATTATACCCGTCCAGTGAACGTGATCATATGTGAATTATACCCGTCCAGTGTTCTTGATCATATATGAATTTTGCCCGTCCATGTCTCGTCATCATATCTGAATTATGTCCATCCAGGGCTCGTGATCATATCTGAATTATACCCGTCCAGTGTTCGTGATCATATATGAATTATGCCCGGCCAGTGTTCGTGATGATATATGAGTTATGCCCGTCCAGTGAACGTGATCATATCTGAATTATGCCCGTCCAGTGTTTGTGATCATATATGAATTTTGCCCGTCCAGGTCTCGTGATCATATCTGAATTATGTCCATCCAGGTCTCGTGATCATATCTGAATTATACCCGTCCAGTGTACGATTACATCCTGAGTGAAATATTTTATTGACCAGGTTTTGCACTGTCACATGGATTCATCTTGCTTTCAGTATTACACAAACATAATATCGTATGTCATATTGTTTTCTATGATAATTCATGTTAAGTTATTTCGTTATTATGTATATATCGCAACAGGATTTAACATAAGTGAGTTGTGTCATACTTAAATGTGTACTGTAGTAGGTAATGAAACCGAAACAAATTGACACTACGTTGATTCTTATAATTCATTCGAAAGTTCTCTCTCTTGTTTTAGTTGAAAATATTTGATGTTTACATGATGGAGACGTTCTGAGGCTCCTCGAACTGCTGCCGTATGTTGAAACTAGGGATTGGAAACTTCCTTTCCAGCTTTACTACAGCTTTATTAAAACGCTCATAAAAAACCCATACCTTTACCATCAATAAAAATGTTTGGACTGTAAAATTAAAGCGGGGCTAGACCGGGACTCGAAAAATGGACTTCAGATTGCTATATTGTAGCTCTGACCGACATAGGTACTTGCTTAACGGAAGTGTGCTGCCAAACTTTGCCACAATAACATGTATATCATGTATATTAAAGCGGAAATTTAGAGGGGGTGGGCGTGGGGGTTAGGAGGTGTTAGTGAAAAACAACAGTGTAGTGGGACAGGGATTCTAAAAGAAACTGTGTTGAGTATTTGACTTGGAGATCACCATTGATGTATAATTACTTATAATTGTTAAATTATTTATGTGGGATTTATATATTTGCATATAACTTACACTAGTAAGAGTGCTGAAGGCTCTGTACTGTATTTTGTGTAGAAAACTACTTGAAGAATCTATGCTTTATTTTATAATAATCACTGAAAGTTGTGAAATTTTCACATAAAGGTCATGTCCTGGCGCTCTCCTTTTGTCTTTTGCTAATCAAATACATATTGCTGGATATTTTTTATATAAATAAACCCTTAAATTATCATTACCAGTATATAGTAGGAAGAAAATGTCTTCTGTTACTTAAAAATCCGTCCGAATTTCTGTGCTCAGAGAAATCTAGCTCGGATATTATTTTTGTTAACTTATGTCTTTTTTATTAACATACATGTAATATTTATAAATTTGCATTTTATATTATTTTGAATATTTTCTTAGTCCTTTTTTTGTGTGAAATGCTTTGCTGTTGACTTACTAATAAAATCTCTGAATACATATTGTCTCCTTTTTTATTTCAACTACATGTTTTATATTTTTATGTTAAAGGTAGTCCATATTAACATGATAAAGAACTTATCAATATTATGACTTTAAACACCAGGAAAGAAACTAGCAGAGAACAGCGTAGTCGTATTACAGCCAATATACTACGACCCGATTGTCACATAAAGGGAAATAACTCCGGCATGACTACATGAATCAACATCATATTGAACTTCATAAAACAGATACACTACACTTTATACTCTCCATTAATCAATAATCAATAGTCCCCAAAAGCGGAATGAAAACATCTTTCAAATATTTCATTATCTATTCAATAAAATGCAAATCACAACATATGTAAAACATCTATTTGTAAGAATGATATTTAAAACGAGCTGATAAATATAACACTCTAGTGGGAAGGAGGTTTACATCAAATTATCATTGAGAAAAACAACTAGAGGATCAAACTGAGTTGTCTTCAACTAATAGTGCAGGCCTCTCTGAGCGGTCTTAAGTTTCTGGTGAAGACCACGCTGATTGGTTTACTTCTTGCTGTGAATACCATTGACAAAACATATGTGACTTAGACAAAATAGGCCAAAAAGTAATTTACATACCGGGAACCTATCGTCCAATCAAATATTCACACATTGCCACTTAATTCCATCTCCGACAAGTGTAAATTGCGCCCTTCACGTGTACTTACTATATACATGTATTGTATGTTGTGTGCTAATATTAACTGCTATGATAAATTCGCCATTATTTGGGAGGGCAGAAAAATGCGAAGTCATTCTCCGGTATACTGCAAGAATAAAGACTATAATCAGGATAATATAAAACCGTTTGTAAATAATGGTAACAAACAACGGAAGTCAGTGTCTATATACATGGGGACTTCTTTAGAGGTTTTTCCATACAATAATCTAAACTATCAATAAATTATTTGGACAGCATACATGTAATAATGAAACATACCACAACATACATGTATACAGTACAGTACGTACCAATACCTCTGTTATACAGTTTTGGGATCGCACAACGTAACAAGATATGCGGTGTTAGCATGTTGAAAAACTTTACCATAATAGCGAATACCCAACTGTGTGATAGCTATTGTTATAAAAGAATAAATACCGTTAAAAATTTATCCGTATGAATGGTATGGATGTTTTATTCAAACGTACGGCAGTCCACGTTCATTTCACATCGTATTGTTGTAGTCTCTAGTTCGCACTTTCAGAGCTCAAACGGTGAGGCAGAGCGTGCCTTTCAAACGGTTAAGAGACTATGGCAAAATTCTGAGGAGAAGAGTTAACCTCTTTTCAATTACCGTACAACACCTCTACCTGGTGTTAATCTGTCTCCTGCAATTATTGATGGGATGAAAGCCAAGAAACGCATTGACCGCATCGCGAGAAGTGTTGACACCTTCTGCGTACAACGAGCAAACCATCAAACAGCACTCTACACATTCAAAATTCTGCTTGTCACAACGCATACCACTGGCTGTGCAACTCGACTGAAACTGAGTTATCACCGCTACTTCAGGTTATAACTGGTTTTTACCAGAGCTGGAAACATATATTTCAGTATCAAACGGGTTACCACAGTTTTCAGCTTGGTTGAGGTCTGTGGAATATGCGTGATCTACTCCCTGCATATTCGGATATTTTCTTACAGTTTTACATCAAAATCGTTTAAAGAAAAAACGATAACAAATCTGGCATGCATGATCAATATCCGATGAGGTAGTCTGCACAAAAAACTTTGCTTTGATAAATAAATAAAGGACATTACGCGCGAAACTTCCATCTGATCAAAAAGATACAACGTCGCCCATCATTTTGAAATCGATGTATATACGACTGCAGAGATGTATGTATCGACCAATGAGTACTGTGTGGTTTATTGCCGGGTTGAAATAAACTTGTGGTGTTATGGGCGTGTTCTTTGGAACATGATTGGGATGACGCTGCTACTGTTTTGCTTGTTACAGAGAGGTATAAATCAAAGCTCGTTATTTCACCGTTGCTGTAGTTAATAACGTTTTATTTTGTTCTTTATCAATTCTCTATTTACAACTTGTCAAAGTTACATATATTGACGATGATATTTACAACAAAGTGTAGACTGCTCGGATTTGTCTTCAACCAGAAGATGTAGTTTTCACACTGAAGGTGCAGCCCTTTCAGAATGATGGTTATCCAGAAGATGCGGACTGTTCAAATGCGTTCTCCGTAAGTTGTACGAACTGTTCAGAGTGATGGTAATCGTAGCTTTATTTAGGACCCATTAAATACAGATTTGTATCCATGATACTTTTTTCTTGAATACAGGTCTTCAACATCAAAGCATAACTAGTCAAAAATTCAGATCAAGATAACTCCAACATACAACTAAATAATTTTGTAAAAAAATGCAAGGTTTATTACGGCTTTGATCATTTCGCAATGATATATGATTTTATGCATCGGCTTTGACATTATAAAACCTACATCTTTCAATGAATAGTTGAGAAAAGGAGTCAGCGTTGATTCATATCATAAGTCAACAGCTAAGCGTATGTTTGCATGAAAATATAACCTTAGAGTAAAATCGATGTGGGCATACAAAAAGACAAATATGTAAAAAGTAAACATATTCCAGTTCGATTAGTGGCAAAGCAATTTGAACGGCTTAATCATACAAATTTAGACGCAGGTTCCTACATTCATTTTTTTATAATATATACAATTATACAAACATATCAACATAGAACTATTTAGATACATGTTTTGATAGGAATTACATTAGGATGAGCAGATAGCGAAAGGACACCTTAAATCTATATATACAATTAAAAAATATCCAAGATGACTAAAACAAAAACATTCGAGTATATACGTGTAAGCATAGCTTCTTCGAGTAGTTTTCTACAAAAATGATTATAATGTTCAGAAGTTAAGAACATTTAACGATACTTATGTTAAACGTCATATGCAAATTATATAATTCAATTAAAATCTTGAACTGAATGGTATTTTCAAGATAAACACTTTATGAATAGTAAATTATTATCAACTTCCTAAAAATAAAATTTAAAAAAAATATAGATAGTTTCTTTTTAACACTTGTCAACCATGCAAACAATTCTATTTAACAAGTGATAGGACTATTTAAAAATTGTTAGAATCAATGAACTGTTAATTCGCAATTATTGCAAGTATGATATATTTCAGCGATGTTTAATCCTGTTGCAATATATCCCACATAACAGTAGAACGAAAACATAATTCATGGAACGACATGACATGTTTGGAACTTTGACAGCAAGAATAAATATACCACCCAGTGCAAAAACTATACTGATGAAAAGAGGATTTTCCAGATAAAGTCCTTTTTTGATACTCCAGCGGTATCGAGGATGGATAAAATCGTGCGGGGTGAATACCTTTCCCCACTGCCACGAAGCCACGAAGCCAATAAGTTGTAAAATAAAACAATGATATTCCTTAAATAACGAGGATCATTCTTTTTAATACGGTTGATATCGAATAATACTACAATTACTGATATTTTTGGCGTTATTTTGATAAAAAAAATCTCTGTAAATAAGAAGGTTGTTTTCAATGTAAGGAGAAAAATAGTTCTTAGATAAAAAATAAATATCTCATTTTATAACTTGTTAACGGAGAGCGTATTTCTTTATTGATCTTCTCGGGGGAAAGAAATTTATCGAAAATGCGCTTGGTGATATTTGAATATTTGAAGATTCTATATAATGATGATTTCTACTGGACAATTATCGCTATGCAAAATATTTACGGAGTTTCATTTGTAATTTCAAAACACGAACAAGATCGAAAACATTTCGTTAATATAGATACATTAGAATTGTCAGTGAGGATGTACTATCAATGAAGTTGGTAGGTATGCATTTCAATGGTCGAACTAGGGTAAGTGTAGATAAAGTTAAAATATTAATATTTTATAATGCTATTGTTGATAGTACAGGTTAGAAGATACTGATAAGGAAACTGTTTGGTGGATAACAGGTTCTTATTAAAATTGTCTGCATTAGTAAACTTAAAGTTAAAATGAATAGTTCGGTCACTTATATCAAAGTTCAAACAATATTACAAACATATGCCAAAAATAAAACCAAGCTCTGTATATAATATCTATAACACACTTTCAATTAATCAATATACATGCAAACAGCTATATCAGATACCTAACTAACACAGTTATGAATCGTTCCTTTCCAGTGTCATTCATGCATACAATAGTCTTCGTCTATATCGTACCCCATATGTATGTGTAGACATTGTGTTAGATGTGTATTCTGACCTACTTCAAGTGTTTTGTAAAGAAAAAATAAATCTTTGGTGTGGTATTGTGTTTAGTTCAATTAAAAAGGAAACACATTTTAAACGACATAATGATGCAGTGTAAAAGCTTCAATAGACATTGACCTTTAATGTGTTGACATCTTTAAGGTCGTATAATCATCCTTCACACAATCGCTCTCTTGTAAAGAGCTTAATCTGCTGTTACGGTATATAACACACTTGATTGCTGTCATAAACTCGGTAGCTGACGCTGGGTCATGTTACTTTATAGATGATCCGTATGTTTTTTTCGGGTATGAAATTTCATTTTACCATTTTCGCACAGTTTGTTGTTGTTTCCTGATTCTTGCTAGCATCCGAGCATCGCTTTCTGTTTATAACAGAGAAACACAATAAAAATGATATAAATCTAACATATATCAATCGTATCATATATTTCGTTTTAATTTAAATAATGGTATATTATAGGAATAACCAATAATTGTTCGTGAGCGCAACTCTCATTAGCAATGCCGTACCAGTGGTACATGTAATATCGGACCTATGTGTGCTAAACGAACCCTAGACGTTATTGCATACTACATCATTTATAATTCGAAATAAGATTCATCAATTTAGTATGAATAATAAATGCTAAGTTTGTTAGCTTTTACATCATTTAAATCCCTGTTAATTAATTGATTATTGAATGTAATCTCATTGACTCTTACAATCCTCGGCATATAAAGTTAGACTTATATGAAATTAACTGTATCAAGAAAAGCAATCCACAAGTGTGTCTGTTGCTGAAAAGTTCATCATAAAGACAAATTAGTTATGTTGATGGAATAATTCTAGAATGAGAACCTCCCTGGAATTATTTGCTGGTAATTGTCAACAGTTGCAGTAACACATAAATACTCATTACCAAAAACAAGTCAATTTATTTATTTATTTTTATGCATGGCAAACGAAGCAATTAATTATTAAGTTATCCTTTGGTTTATTTCTACATATCACGTGACTTGCATAAGATAACTTTATACCGTATTATACCAATCGACTGTTATCATGTCGAGTTAAGATTCATGATATCCTTTGTCTGTTAAATAAACCTGAGAAGAAAGTATTTTATTGGACAGGTTTCTTTGCATGGAGTATATTCATACAGTGTCTCTGTACCTAACAAACGCACCAGTAAAGGACCTCACTAAATGCAATTTTTGACTTCACAAAAGCCGTGTAAGTTGAAAAACTTGGCCAGTGCTCGTTTCGCTTTACCTTTCTATTCATCGGTTAATTGCATATCATAATCCAAAATACATTAGATTTAGATACAAGTAGGTCAGAGTCGGTAACACTTTGTGTGGAATAGGCAAGGTCCATTGTATATAACAAATCTACCTATCCGATAACATCCATCGACGTGCTAATATCTGCTGTTTTTGTCTCGTTTCGTCTGGCTTTCAAGAATAATAAGCAAAAACGTTTAAATAATATTACTATTTGTATTGAACAATTTATGAATGTATTGTCTGATATTATTAATCTTTCAGAGTTTTGATATTTCCAAATATTTTTTCACTGCATCAGAACAAACATATATCAATAATGTTAACACACAGTCAATAGCATGCGTACAATTTGAATTCACAGGGGAAACAATAAAACTTAGAACAAACGTCAGAGTCGACACAAGTTAAACTGACGATGTTGGGTTTCACAATATGTTCCATTACTACAGCGGTACATATTTACTAAACTTTCGCAATTTTGGAAGCGTGAATCACATTAGATAACAGCACTTACGTAAAACAGAATATAGTATATCGAAGACGAGTATATGAATTATAACAAATTCCAGTCATTAGCACAGAATTCGGATTTCATTTGTCCTATTATTATTATTATTGAACATTTCAAAAGAATCGAGTTAGTATGAATGCACAAGTTTTTTTTATCAAAAATTAGAAAACACAATGTCACGTGATATATTGCCTAACATAGATATTGACTGAGATACCTTTTTTCTTCTGCTTTCCCTCTTTGCGTTGATTTAAGCATGATTTGGCAATCTTTAATGGCCGCAGTAGCAAGTTTAATGTCACAGGAATTCTCCTCTGGAAAGCCATTATCACCTGACTTCTGTGTAATTGCCATAGTTGGTCCGAGTTATTTTGTATTTCTTCAAATTGAAAACTGTTAGAAATTAACAATATGATTTTGTAGTAAGATTATAACTAGGTTATAATGTATTGAAACGAATGAATTAAGACCTTTAACTAGGTTATGATGTATCTATACTACGGAAGCAAGACCTTTAACTAGATTATGCTGTATCTATTCCACGGAACTTAGAACTTTAACTAGGTTATAATGTATTTATTCGACGGAATCAAGACATTTAACTATGTTATAGTGTATATTTAAGACGGAATTAAGACCTTTAACTAGGTTATAATGTATTTATCCGACTGAATTAAGACCTTTATATAGGTTATAATATATCTTTACGAATGAATTAAGACCTTTAACTAGGTCAAAATGTATATTTACGACTGTATTAAGACCTTTTACTAGGTTATGCTGTATCTAATCGACGAATCATAGATCTACAACTAGGTTATAATGTATTTATTCGACGGAATCAAGACCTTTAACTAGGTTATCATGTATCTATACGACGGAATTAAGACATTTAACTAGGTTGTGATATATCTATACGACGGAATTAAGACCTATAACTAGGTTATAATGTATTGAAACGAATGAATTAAGACCTTTAACTAAGTCAAAATGGATATATACGATTGAATTAAGACCTTAAACAAGGTAATAACGTATCTTTACGACTTAATCAAGACCTTTAACTAGGTTATGATGTATCTATACAACGGAAGCAAGACCTTTCACTAGGTTATGCTGTATCTATACGACGGAACTAAGACCTTTAACTAGGTTATAATGTATTTATTCGACGGAATCAAGACCTTTAACTAGGTTATAATGTATCTATACGACGGAATCAAGACCTTTAACTAGGTAATGAAGTATCTGTACGAAGGAATTAAGACCTTTAACTAGGTCATAATGTATCTGTACGTCGGAATCAAGATCATTAACTAGCTTATAACGATCTATATGACGGAATCAAACATTTAACTAGGTTGTTATATATCTATACGACGGAATTAAGACCTATAACTAGGTTATAATGTATTGAAACTAATGAATTAAGACCTTTAACTAGGTCAAAATAGATACATACGATTGAATTAAGACCTTAAACAAGGTAATAATGTATCTTAACGACTGAATCAAGACCTTTAACTAGGTTATGATGTATCTATACGAAGGAAGCAAGACCTTTAACTAGGTTATAATGTATCTATACGACGGAATCAAGACGTTAAACTAGGTTATGAAGTATCTGTACGACGGAATTAAGACCTTTAACTAGGTTATACTGTATATTTACGACGGAATCAAGACCTTTAACTAGGTCATAATGTATCTTCACGTCGGAATCAAGATCATTAACTAGCTTATAACGATCTATATGACGTAATCAAGATCTTTAACCAGGTCAAAATATATCTATTCAGCAGCAACAAGACCTTTAATAAGGACAAATTGTATATATACGACGTAAACAAGACCTTAAACTAGATTATAACGTATCCATACCTCCGAAACAAGACCTTTAACTAGGTTATTACATATCTATACAACAACATCAAGACCTTTATTAAAGTCATATTGTATCTTTACGACTGAATTAAGACCTTTAACAAGATCATGATGTATATAAACGACGAAATCAATACCTTTAACTAGGTTATGATGTATCTGTACGACGGAATCAAGACCTTTTACTAGTTTATAATGTATCTATACGACGGAATCAAGACCTTTAACTAGGTTATGATGTATCTATATAAACGGAATTAAGGCCTTTAACTAGGTCATAGTGTATATATACGACAGAATAAAGACCTTTATTAAGGTCATATTGTATCTTTATGACTGAAATAAGACCTTTAACTAGGTTATGATGTATCTCTACGACGGAATCAAGATCTTTAACTAGGTTATAGTGTATCTATACGACGAAATTAATACCTTTAACTAGGTTATAATGTATCTATACGACGGAATCAAGACATTTACCTATGTTATAGTGTATATTTAAGATGGAATTAAGACCTTTAACTAGGTCATAATGTATCTTTACGACGGCATCAAGATCTTTAACAGGCTTATGATGTATCTATACAACGGAATCAAGACCTTTAACTAGGTTATAATGTATCTATCCGACTGAATTAAGACCTTAATCTAGGTTATAATATATCTTTACGAATGAATTAAGACGTTTTACTAGGTTATGCTGTATCTAATCGACGAAACATAGACCTACAACTAGGTTATGATGCATATATACGACGAAATCAAGACCTTTAACTCGGTTATGATGTATCTATACGATGGATGCAAGACCTTTAACTAGGTTATAAGGTATTAATACGACAGAATTAAGATCTTAAGATAGGTTGTGATATATCTATACGACGGAATTAAGACCTATAACTAGGTTATAATGTATATTTACGACGTGATCAAGACCTTTAACTAGGCTATGATATATCGATACGACGAAATAAAGACCTTTAACTAGGTCAAAATGGATATATACGACTGAATTAAAACCTTTAAATAAGTCATAATGTATCTATACGACGGGATAAAGACCTTCAACTTGGTCATAATGTATCTATACGACGATAACAAGATCTTTAATTAAGTCATAATGTATCTGTACAAATGAATTAAGACCTTTTATTTGGTAAACATGGATATATACGAACGAATTAAGACCTTTAACTAGGTTATGATGTATCTATGCGGCAGAATTAAGACCTTTAACTAGGTCACAATGTATATATACGACGGAATCAAGACCTTTAATTAGGTAATGATGTATCTGTACGACGGTATAAAGACCTTTAACTAGGTTATGATGTATCTATACGACGGAAGTATGACCTTTAACTGGGTTATAATGTATCTTTACGAATACATTTAGGTCTTTAACTAGGTAATAATGTATCTTTACGAAAGAATTTAGTCCTTTAACTAGTTGTAAAGTATCTTTACGAATGAATTAAGACCTTTAACTAGATCAAAATGTATATATACGACAGAATTAAGACCTTTAACTAGGTCATGATGTATCTATACGACGGAATCAAGACCTTTAACTAGGTCATGGCGTATCTATACGACGGAATCAAGACCTTTAACAAGGTTATGATGTATATATACGACGGAATCAAGACCTTTTACTAGGTTATGATGTATCTGTACGACGGAATCAAGACATTTAACTAGGTTATAATGGATATATACGACAGAATTAAGACCTTTAACTAGGTCATAATGTATTTATACGACGGAATCAAGAACCTTTAACTAGGTAATGATGTATATATACAACGGATTGAAGACCGTTGACTAGGTTATGATGTATCTATACGACGGAATCAAGACCTTTAATTAGGTTATAATGTATTTATACGACGGAATCAAGACCTTTAACTAGGATATGATGTATCTATACGACGGAATTAAGACATTTAACTAGATCATAATGTATCTTTACGACGGAATTAAGACCTTTAACTAGGTTATAATGTATCTTAACGAATGAATTTAGATCTTTATCTAGGTTATTATGTATATTTACGACTGAATTTAGTCTTTTAACTAATTCAAATGTATCTTTACGAATGAATTAAGACCTTTAACTAGGTAATAATGTATCTTTACGAATGAATTTAGATATTTAACTAGGTTATTATGTATATTTACGACTGAATTAAGTCATTTAACTAGTTCAAATGTATCTTAACGAATGAATTAAGACCGTTAACTAGGTTATACATATGTAATGTATCTGTACGACGGGTATCAATACCTTTAACTATGTTATGATGCTTTTCGTTGTTGGAACATATTCTTAACAACAAATGATAATACTAATTTTCACGGATAGAATTACCCACAAAATTATGTTTGTGAAATGAAAACTTTTTTTTTCATAAAATATAGTAAAGAGTTGTGACCATGTCAAACAAGCTTTGGACGAGCAGTAAGTATATAATATGTTTATTTGGCATGTGATATAAATATCTGTCTCGTATTGGTGATATCCATTTGTTAAATTGTATGAAAAATATACTAAAATTGATATTTTCTTGGGATTATTTTTAGATAAAAGTCTCATATAGAAAATACATACAAAGTTGTATTTTTATTTTTCTCTTGTCTAATTCACATAAGCGTCAATATGAATATTTTGTTTAATTATATAATCACCGTTGAAGTTTTTAAAACTAGTAAATTCATATATCAAAAGACAGCACTGTACAGATACATGCATGTATAATCACCTCTAATAAAGGACACGATATTCTTAATTCAAACGTGGCACACGATCCGCTTTGTTTGTTTGTATGAACTGATATATTTTTTAAATTTTACAGCGTACGCTTGTTTACTTACAAACACTAGATCGTATCACATGTATAATCATTCGAAGAAAAGAATCCAAAACCGGAAGTAGACTACCATTTACCTGGTATTGCTATGTTGTTCTGCGGCAAACGTACGTGTGCATGCTTGCTTTCCCGCTCTCTCCACCATTGCAGTTTTCTATCCAACCTAAAAAAAATATGATCTAGATTGTTTTGTTTGCATGATAAAATCAATAAATAACATGTATTATAATAATCTCCAGTATACGGTGTTGGGATATGTTAGTTGTACAAGTATGCTTCTTGGGATGTATACACCTATTTGATATCCGGGGCCGGGTGATGCTTATTCTACAGACACATATACATCCTAATGTCCATCATTAAGTACAGTGGAATATTCGTAATAAACTAGTTATTCTGTTTGCTAGATACTTGTGTATCTACATAGAGCATATATTTTCTCTTGTTATTCTGTTGGGTAAAACATCTAAAACAAACCATTCGTTTAGTTTATCTACTGATTTTTTTTTACATCTTATTTACATCATATATATCTCTAGATATGTGCTGGGTTGATATCTAGTTAACTACCTGACCGCTAGCTGCTCTGCTGGGTATTATATATTTAGTTTTACTAGACTCTAACTTCTCTACATGATTTTGTATCTTATTTATCTTACCCTTATCTTCTCTGTTGGGTTATATATCTAGTTTACCTTATATCTAACTTCTCTGTTGGGTTTTTATATCTAGTTTTAATTATATCCAGCTACTTTGCTTGATTTTACTTACAAAATGTATCACCTTTAACTGCTCTGTTTGGTTTTATATCTACATGTAGTATACTTGACCTCTAACTTCTCTGTTTGGTTTTATATCTAGTTTACCATACATCTATCTTCTCTGTTCAGTTTTATGTCTAATTTTAATTATCTCTAGCTTCTTTGCTTGATTTTATATCTAGTTTCCAAAAATTCTAACTTGTCTGTTCGGTTTTATATCTAGTTAACCTGACTTCCACCTTCTCTGCTGGGTTTTATATCTAGTTTACCTCACTTCCACCTGCTCTGCTGGGTTTTATACCTAGTTTACCTCACTTCCACCTTCTCTGTTGGGTTTTATATCTAGTTTACCTCACTTCCACCTTCTCAGCTGGGTTTTATATCTAGTTTACATGACCTCTAGCTTCTCTGTTGGGTTTTATATCTAGTTTACCTTACCTCTAACTTCTCTGCTGGGTTTTATATCTATTTTGCCTTACCTCTAGCTT